TGAAATTGAACAGTCTTGCCCTATTACACCACTACCTATATAATTCATCATTATCAGATCCATTCATGCTAGACATTGACCCCTAGTATTCTGCATCTTCTCATGGGATTTGAGATTAATTGGGACCTTCTGTGTATAAGTAGTTATAGTATCTCCAAAATTTTGACCTTTGTCTCCAGGCTGGTTCTCTGACCCTCGCCTTAGGCTAAGGCCTGTGTTTCCAGATTGAGCATTCTGAAAGTGTCCAATTCTTTGAACCTCCAGCCACATATCCGGTACACCAGATTTCCATATGTAAAATGAAAGTAGTTGATACAGATGAAGCACAGTCTTAATGGTGTGCGGTGTAGGGTTTTATAAAGATGAATTGAACAGAATTATTCTTGTTCTCATTTAGCTTACAACTTAATAGAAGACACAGCAGAATTGATCATGATAATAATATAAAGTAAAGCATCTGCAATAAGTGTATCTTAGTTTTATCTGAGCTAATGAACTTAGAAAATGTTTTTTTTAGAATTCTGAATTGGCTTTCGCTGCCCTTTATGGTTGAATGTAAAAAAGTTGGTTAAATTCTTTGAGTCTCAGGTTCTTCCTTTAAAAATTAAAAATATGCGCTTCATGGACTATGTTTATTAAATGAACAATGTATACATAAAATATATATAGCTCTGGTATTGAGTAAGTGTTCAATATAATATGTATAATATATATACACACACATGTGTAAATATATGAGCTAAGTTTGCAGACATAGTTATGATTTAAATCTTTGAGAGACTGATGTTGAGGATTTTTGAAAACAAATATGCAGTTAGCTGTATTCCCTGGAGCCAGCAGAAAGCTATGGATTGAAGATAAAGTAACAGTAAATACTGTAAAGCACTTCACAGAGGATATGGCCCTAAAAATGTTGGGAAACAGGAAATAAGCACCCTAGATTTCCTCACAAGTTAGAAAAGAAGGGTCTGAAAACAATCAAAGACAGCAGCAATACAACCATGGATTTGTCGTTCAATTAACACCTCCAAGGACTTTCCAAGTTATTTGGTGGCCAAGGACTCAGGAACTTGTATCTCTCATCTAGCAAAAATGTTGGAGAAGTGAGACTTGCTTCAAAGGAGGAGACATCCCTGTTTTTCTGCCTTGATTTCATTTTTTTCTGTCTAAGCTGAGAAGTAGTGACTGCTGGAGCTGGGGCCATCGGTGCAGAAGTAAGAGCTTGAGGTGGGGCAGAGAGTTGGTAAACCCCTTCCTCAAGAATAAAATTCAAGAATATTGGAGACAGAATTCAAATTTGGAGTTAATTAAATCAGGTTTTGTAAGGTTTTCCTTGAAAAAATTAAAATAGTAATAATAACAAAACCTTGTGTACAAGAGGCAAGAAGAAAGCCAAAACAGTTGCAGAAGTTTTGTCTTACTTTTTATCTATTCTTGAGGTGGGAAAAATCATAAGAGAACTCCAGGTGGTTATCAAGTGGTTTGGGGCTGAGATTAGGGATGAAGAGGGGAATCTAGGGGAAGTTCTTGACTTGAGAATCAGCCCCACGTGCATGTGGAATCACTCATGGGGCCAGATCTCAAGCCATGACCATCTGTTTTTTTTCCTATCAATAACAATTGTCTGGAAAAATAAGATAATTTTTGGTATGAAGACAGTGAGCTTGAACTTGCTGAAAGTTTTCCTATGTAAACAAAAAATTTTCCACGTTTGCTTACTAACTCAGAAAATGCATCGGCAACAAAATGTCGCTTACAGACAAAGAAATCACATGCTTCTGACCAAATGGGTTAGTCATGGCTTCATGTGGTTTTCCATATGTGTATCACAGACACTTTGGAATACCAAGGGCAAAGCTTGGCAGTTACTGGGTCTTTTAACAAGCTTTAGGATTGTGGATTGGAGAACAATGTCCATATCAGAAACATTCATCTCCTCCTGAAAAATTCCACTATAAAATTAAAAATTTTGCATTTTATCTTCCATAAAGATGTTATTTTTTCAAGAATGAAAAATATCCTATTTATATTACAAAGGAATCATTAAGATGAATTGTTACCCAAAATGTTTTCCTTAACAATTTTATCATAGGATTGAATTTTGAAAGGTTTATAGAGGGAAACTCTATCGTGAGAGCTATAACTGCAGAAATCTATAAAATTAAAAATAGACCTTTGATATGTCAACCTCCTATTTTGTTTCTAAGTACAAAAACAGTAATGAGTAGTGTAAAACACATTGTAACCATACAAGGTGTCACCCTGAGCCTGTTGGATTCCCCTCACTATCTGTTTGGAGTAGAGTCTGTTTGGTGCCTCCCACTTCACATAGAGAGTCAGATTTAGTGAGTAAAGCGGTATCAGTGAAAGAGATTAAAGTGCCTGCATGTCCCCCTATCCTTTGCCTCTCAGTGCATCACATGCCTCCTTTCCTTCCATTACATCCTTTTCTTAACCTACGCCAATTTATCTTTTAAATAAATCTAGTTAAATTTACTTTTTAGTGAAAACAGTCAGAGGACTATTAAAATGATTCAGATCATTAACTTTCATTCCATTAACCTGTATATAATTAAACACACATTCAAGAAATGTAGGCCAAACATTGATCATTAACAATACTCCCTACAGTATTTATTTTAGCTTTAACATGTCACTTGTGAGAAGTATTGCATCTATTCAGGATTGTTGAATCCAAATGCTCCACGAACTTAAACTGGGAAACAGCTGGTGTCCTTACCATTGCCCCCCTCTCCCCCAAGCCCCCGCCTGGCTTTGTTCTCTGAGCTCAGTGGCTGCACTGTCCCCAGCAGCATCACACCAGGCAGCCCTTTTAGCTGCTGGCAACACTTCTGGTTGTTTGCTGGGTAAATACTTGAGGGCTGGGTCACGTGTATCAGATCCTGGTTTCACTCCTCACTGGGTCTGTGGCTTTGGAAGATGTTATTTAACCTCTTTAAACTTCAATTTATTCATATGTAAATGGAGGTGACAATAGCACTAATTTATAAGGACTAGATAAAATCAAGTTTTTGGTGGGACAGGGATTTGAACTCAGAATTTACACTTGCAAAACAGGCTCTCTACCATTGAGCCACACCTTTAGTCCACTTTGCTCTGATAATTTTGGAGATGCGAGGTCTCATAAACTCTTTGAGCTGCAATCCTCCTGCTCTCAGTTTCTCAAGTAGCTAGGATTACAGGCTTGCACCACTAGCACTGACAATTACATAAACTTCTGATACATATGCATGCATACCTAAGGACTGAATAAATATTTCCTATTATTGATATTAATGTGTCAAAAGATATTTTCAAAGCCTTAGTTACATATGCTTCTCCAGATACTTCCATATTTATTTTGTGTGTGCATGTGTGAAATAGTTTTATGATACTCTTAGCATTGTCACAGTGCTTCTGAAAGTTTATACTGAATTATAGATATACTCAATAAAGTGAGGGCTACTTTTCTTTCCTATAATGCAAAATCAGACACTCATGTGTAATATTTCTATAGTCATAAATTTGAAAATACATTAATGTAAATGAAATACATTAGTATGAAATATCTTTCTTAGAAAGATATACATAAATATGTATATATGGCAATTACTAGCCTGAATTTAATTGTGTAGTTAGTTACGTGATCGTCTTTATAGTGTCCACCTCAATTGGTCATAAACATTCTTTCATCTGACATAGAAGCTGAGCTTCCTGCACAGAGCACACAAATCAGAGATCACCAACCAGATCCATTGCGTCCTCCTCTGTTCTAGTCTGCTCATTTTGGTTCTTGTACATTTGAGAATAAAAGCTGATTGGCACTCTGCCTCCATAATTACAATCTATACTCAGAACAACTTAAATAGTGATAAAGCACATATCAGCAAATCATGAGACTATGAGAAAAAAATGGTATTAGAAGGCTGTGAATCTCAACATTGTTTTAGGCTAATAAAATTATTCCATGAACATTTCACAGATAAATGAATGGATGGCTGGGTAGCACACTGTGGTAAAATAGGATCTAAGCTTCATATAAGGAGGAATAACTTCATGGAGGTCAAAGTCACATCTTAAAGAGAAAAGGAATGTATCTGGGCTATATTTTATGTTAGATAAATACAGTTGAGTGGATTTCATTGTTTTTATTTAGAAGAGTTAAGGTTTTGAGAACACAACTAAAGGAGATGATTTTCTCTTGAGTTATGAGGACAACCCACAGAAGTCTAACCAAGCATGGCATCTGCCCTTTACCACAAAAAGAGTGTGCTAGCTGTGTGGTACACTTCAAGTTTGGGCAAAATGTTGGATTTTAACTGTATGTTGTTAACAGAGCTGAAACAGAATCAAAATAAATTATTTCCTTGAGTGTCAAGCACATGCAAGAGTGATTCTGCATCAGCTCATCATATACAGGTATTTCCAGCAAGTAGAAGCTTCTATTGAGATACAAATTGAAGATTTTTTTCCTGCAAACAAGTGTTGATTAGTATAGAAAGGCAGATTTAAACACCTGAGAATACATTGGATTTTCTGATAGTACAGTGATGGACAGAACAAGGAATATAGTTTTTAACAATTCCTGGTTAGTTTTCCAGCTATTCCATGCCCATGGGTTGATCTAGATATGGTCTGAACTATTTAAATGTTTTAGAGAAATTACAAGTCACATCTCTTTTGTGGAATTTAAATGATACTGTCATCTTCTACAATTGTCAAATCAGCTCCTTTAAACAGAATGAGAGCATAGCATATGCTTTTTGTGCAGAATCAGAAGGAAAGGGCACATGTTCTAGGTCATCAAAGAAAATCTTTTTCTCGTAAAAAAATTAAAAATCACTCAACATCATGTGCTCATTATGTGTCTTATGTGTTCAAAAATTTTGCTTTGATGTTTTCTTAATTCTCTCCCATAATTCTGTCTACAGCTAATTACTATTAAATTGATTATTTTTGTTACATATAAGAAATCAGACTTGGTTTTCTCTTCTCCCTAGGATCCCCTGCCTTGACTGGAACTGGAACAATCAATGTCATTGTAGATGATATTAATGACAATGTCCCCACTTTTGCTAGTAAAATGTATTTCACAGCAATTCCTGAAGACGCACCAACTGGAACAGATGTGTTATTGGTAAATGCTTCAGACGCTGATGCTTCAGCAAATGCAGTCATAAGGTCAGTATGTTTAACATTGTAAACTTGGGAGATTTACTCACTAAGTGTTAGTCTCTGGACTAAATGAATACGACGTCTAATTTCACTGGACATCCATGTTAACGCATAGTACTAACTCTGCTACCTGTTGCCAACTAATCAACTATCCCTAAAAAGTAATCATTTTCTTTTTCTAAGTTTCTTTAATTTTCATCATGTCTTATGATTTTGTTCTGGAGTGAAGTGCATGATTCTCCTGGAGCTGCTCAGTATTTACCTCATTAAGAGCATCCAACATGGCTTCCCATGCAGATTGCCTTGACAAGGGCGGGTGGAGGGTTTGGCTGAGCTAGGCCCTCTCTCTTCATGGAGTGTCAGCACTGCTCACTCTGATTTTTAGTACAGCAGTGGACTTTGAATGTTGCTCTGGGAGAATGCTGCCAGGCTCATCAAGAAGTGGCATTGCATCTTATCCACAACACGAAGTCATGGTCAGCCTAGACTTGCTGTGAAGAGAAACACATACCACCTCATTATGAGATGAATGTCAAAGAATTGGCCACTTTTTACTAGCTAGCATTTGTTGCCCTTAATGCAGAGAAACTAAAGCAGATACCTTAAAGCAACTGAGGCCAATAGGAAAAGGGGACCAGGAACTAGAGAAAAGGTTAGATTAAAAAGAATTAACCTAGAAGGTAACACCCATGCACAGGAAATCAATGTGAGTCAATGCCCTGTATAGCTATCCTTATCTCAACCAGCAAAACCCCTTGTTCCTTCCTATTATTGCTTATACTCTCTCTACAACAAAATTAGAGATAAGGGCAAAATAGTTTCTGCTGGGTATTGATTGGGGGAGCGGGAGGGGGTGGAGTGGGTGGTAAGGGAGGGGGTGGGGGCAGGGGGGAGAAATAAACCAAGCCTTGTATGCACATATGAATAATAAAAGAAAAATGAAAAAAAAAAAAAAAGAATTGGCCACTTTTTACCCACCACTAGGCCCAAAACGAGTATCTCTTAGTCTAATAGCTTATTTTACTCTACTAAAATCTTAACATGAAGGGACGCAGCATGCAAATTATTCAGAGAGAATATGGAAGTACCTGAACTGTAACATTTGTCTAGTCTAGCTTCTTCTCTTTTCTCACATTCCTTCTAAACTTATAAGAATAGATTTCACTGTTTGCTAGAGAAAACCTCCAAGCTATCAACATTTTTGTACACATGCCCCCCTTGTGTAAGCTGGTATTATTTAAATCAAAGTTGGTGAAGGCTGAGAAAGTAATGGATCAGAAGAATTCACAGAAGTAGGAGGAAGTTGTAGTCAAGGGCAGAATACATACTGATAAAGTGATGATTTGATTAATAATTTATTTTGTTGTTTGTTACTAATTTCTTATTAACAAAATCATCTTGGGAAACTGACTTTAATTAGTCTCTTCCTATTGACAGAGATGACTAAGAGTAGGACAGCGCAGAGGCTTTATTCATTTGATAAATACGTACTACATTTCTGATATGAGTAAGTTTAAAACAAGACAAGATTTCTGCTCTCTCTGAAACTATTCTTTGAAAACTAAGTACAAATAAAAAAGATTATTTTGTATTATAGTGATTGCCCTGAAAATAAAACAAGATAATAAAATAGTAACACCGAAAGTTTTTAGATTTGATTTTGTAGATGGTCTTTGCATTAGCCAGTAGTGTTTTTGTTGATGTTTCTGTGACAAATAGGTATAAGAGAAAATTTAGAAGGAGGAAGACTTATTTTGGCTCACAGTTTCAGAGGTTTCAGTTTGGAGCACTTGGCTCCATGTTTCTGGCCCTGTGGTGAGACACAGTATCATGGATGTGAGAGCATGTGGTGGAGAAGGCTCCTTACCTCATGGCAACCAGGAAGTAGAGAGGAGTAACAGGAAGGGGCTAGGGTCAAGAAATGTCCTTCAAAGGCACACACCCCAGTAACCCACTTCCACTAACCAGGCCCCACCTTCCATAGTTCCATTAGCTCCCAATAATCAATTCCAATTTTGAACTCATCTAGGAGTTAAGCCATTCATGACAGCAAAGCCATCATGATCTAAATGTCTCTGAAAATACCCTCACAGACATACCTAGAGGTGTGCTTTACTAACCTAGGCATCTCTCAATCCAATCAAGTTGATAATCAAGACAAACCATCAGAAAGTCTTAGTTCATTGTCCTGCTAAAACACTTTAATACCTGAGCCTAGATAGTTTCTAAAAAGCATAAGTTTATTGATGACATCTATGGATGCTGGGAATCCAAGATCAAGGTGTTGACATGTGTGGTGTCTGGAGAGGGACACTTCTGAGATGGCATCTTGTTGGTCCATCTTCCAGGGGACAGGAAGGCTTGTCCTCACATATGGAGAGAGCAGGAGGGAGCTATATAATAAGAGAGGAAGTTGGAGATGTCAGTGTGGAACTTTGGGTTTGGGTCAAGGCTGGATTATAGATTTGAGAGTTATCAATGTTTAGAGGACATAAAGTCAGGGGACCAAATGAGCATACTTTAGATGAGTACAACAGGAGAAGGAAAGTGAGGGTGGAGCTTGTCACATGGATTTTTCCAATATTTGAGTGGCATATTTTAAAAGAAAAGTCATGAAAGCAATTAAGAAGAGCTGGCCAGAGATAGGGGAGAAAAATCCGGAACACAATGGTCACTTACATGTAGTATAAATGGAGGGAAAGCAGCATACAAACTTCTCTCAGCAGACTAGGACCCACTTCTAAGAGACAAGTTGTATTCCTAGAGGCTGGCACAGTCAGAGCATTGAGGATTGGGGAAATGTCAACAGTCATAGTTGTATGCCTACTGGGTCATTGTGGATAGCATCATCGAGAGAGGCAGGTAAAATTAAACTTGTACCTAGATATAAATCTCAAAAAGCCAGTAAATACTCCACCTTCCACCTGCCCAAGAGGAAAGTGCTAACAATGAAACCCAGACTTGTGATTCAGCCCAAAGTCTTTAATTTAATGTTGAGAGCAGAGCCTTGAGAATCAAGCTATGTGGAATAAAATTCTGACCCTACTAATTGCTTGAGTAAGGACAAATTATCTAACATTTCTGAACACCAGAGTTTTTTTTTTTAATCAGTGGTCTTGGTATACCAATAATAAAACCAGTTTTATAGAGGATAAATACAGAAAAGTAAACAAACTACCTATAACTGTTCCAGGAAGAAAAACACATTCAATATATGTTAGTACATATTGTTCTAAGTCATTAAAAGCACTTAGCCTTCTATCTGTCACCTGTTACTGCTTGGTAAATTTCTGGAAATAATTTTGGAAGGGATGAACTATTCATTTTGCTGTAATAATAAATTTTTTATCTGCCACAGGGAGAAAACTTTCTTTAAAACCAACATATAAAAACTGCCAATCAGTAATAGGATTTGTCTCAGATGTTCAAATTCTTGGTGTGAAGCTAAATGTTTACAAAATTGATCTCTTCACCATCAATTCATTCATTTATTGCTAGAATAAAATATTTGGATGATATGCTGATTTCTTGTAGCATATGTAAAAAAATTCATTATTAAATGTTCTCTGACGCTTGTGAACTATGGTGACCAATGTAAAATTGGTCCAATATATCTTGTTCAAATTTTTCAGAATGTTTTGCAGGTTTTCATCGTAGCTCTCCTGTGATTATTTTGGATTGATAGTGTATATTTTGGTCGGTTGGTTGGCTAGTTGAATCTTCTTCTTTCTGCAATATCAGATAATTAACCTTATGCTCTCACATTTGATAAAATCTATAAAACCTGCATGTGAAAAATTTCAAATGCTTATATCAACTCTCATAAGTCAGTTAAGATCACAAGTTGAAACTGTCTTTAATATTTTGAAAAAATCATTGTATTATTTCTAAATTAGGGTAGAACACACAACTATTATAGCTTAAATTAAAAGTATTTTCATAGATAAAGCAAATAGTTATGACAACTTAAACCTTATTTACTCTGACCTGATAAATTTTGTAAGGTTTAGTGGCACATGTCTGTAATCCCAACTACTAGGAGGTGGCAGGCGGGACATGAGTTTGAGGCCAGTCCAGGAAAAGTGATAGAGACCTTAATCTCAAAGCAAACACAAACAAAGGAATGTGGGTGTGGTTCAAGTGGAAGAACACTTACGTCATGTGTGTGAGGACCTGGGTTCAATCTCCTGGACTACCAAAAACAAAAGGAAAAAGAAAAAATCTTAATGGTGTACAATATATTTTCACATTAGGTGTTAATAATGATTCCATGCAGAGCAAGGAAATTCATGCTCTCTTTTGGTTAAAAGAGCTCTTGTAGCTTCTGCCTACAAGTGAGAAGCCCTGAGTTCAAAACCCAGCACCAGAAAAAAAAATCTCTTGAATTAATTTTTATATCACTTACCTAAATTTCATCTGTTAACTTGTTGCATGACTGCGTGTTTATTATAATTTTCTAACTTTCCCATATCATCTAGCATGAACTTTTACCCAGAAGCCACCCAACAAATATCTATTTATATTTTTATTTCTACTTATTTAATGAAATTATGCATTTCTACAAATTATACCTAAAGTATACATTGTACTTCATCTTTAGCTTTTTCTGTCTAATAAACCAGGCTGTGTCAATTCCTAGCCTTATTCTATCTAGTTTCTATATTTGCTTTTCACTTATCCATTCCAGAACATAGCTTCTTGAGGCATTCCCTTTTCTCACTCCGTTCAAATCTCACTTCCCATTCTTTCATGTCATAACACTAGAGAAACTAAGAAAACAGTATTGACAGGGTCAACATTCTAGAGCAAATCCTTTAACCGGTGCTTTTAATCCTATCCCATTTTAGCCTCTTCAATATCTTTGCATCAATAGGTACTGTGTTTCTCTCTTTTATCTTCCAGGTTTCTCTTCTCCTTGAATTATTTCTTTACATACAGAAACAAGCATATACACAAGCCAGCACATCTATAGAAATGCTCACAATTCCTGGTATTGAATTCAAGCTTATTTGCCTACCATGCTTTAGGAAAGTCATTTTAATGTTTCAAAGGTCCAGTATGTGTGTGAGTGAAAGTAAAGATAAGTGTTTACAGTTTGGATGTTTTTTGAGCATCTGTGGCATGTCAGGCAGTGCTTATGGAGTCAGTTGATGTCTGTAAATGTCTGTGTACAACTGTTGAAACAGAAATATCTAGATTAATATTAGGGTTCTTTGTGATTTATCCTTTTCATATCTATTTCAGACTTACACAATAGTGGTACATATTAGTGGCTGTAACAATGCATTGAATGAGTGATTTTAATTTTCTCTATTGAACACAATATTCTTGAAAGAAGGGCTTTGGTTCAGTACTTTAGCTTTCTCTGGGCTTTGATTCCTGAAAATCTTTCAATCTGATTTTTCTTCCTTTACTTTACTACAAAGGACTCCATCGAAGACTCTGCTGAAATTGTCCAGTCAGTGACTTTCTCTTAGTCATGATTCTCCTTTGCCCTTGCACTGTTTGCTTTTTCTTCTCCCTACAAAGTAATTCCAATGTTCCTCACAGTACTTTTCTCAATTCTTTGTGTGTTTGTGTGCATGTGTATGTACACATGTGTCAGAGAAAGACAGAGGGAGAGGGAGACAGAGAGAGAATGGGACAGGATAGGAAAAGGGAAAACAGTTGATTTCCTCATCTGTGTGCATCAGTTCTATGCAGAAACCTCCAAATCTGCACTGTCAGTCCTGACCCCTTTGCAGAGCCTCCCACCCATATCTGTAACTCCCTGGGAAAGATATTCTAGGTAGAGACTCTGTTGGCATCTAAAGCACATTGTACCTGAAATTCCTAACTAGTCTTGTTTCTTTTCTTGGTTTTCTGCCTTTAAAAAAAAAAGGTTTCCTTGCTTTCTTCACCCACCCTTTGTGGCCAAGGATCATCTTCCCCTAGACTCAATTTGAACAAATTCTCATGTTCCTTCTTTTCTAATGCTTCTGGCACCCATTTTTTTTCTGTGATTCTTCTTGCCAAGATCTTAGTTCAGTGCATAATTACATCATGCCTGGACTATTATAGCAAACATTAAGTGACTCCCTGACTCTGGCTTCTAATCCCTCTCTACTTTACACTACACTGTGCTGTGTTATTATGGGGCCCTTTCTATGTATTAAACTCTTTGTTAAATTGTAAGTTTAGGTACTCTAGGTCTCATCTCCGGTAGAGTGTAATCATAGAGTAATTTGTAATTATGTTACCTTGTAACAAGTACAGTTTAAGCACAGTACAGTATTATATCACAACAGTAGAAAGAGTCACAAAACTGTATTGACAGAGTCAACACTGTAAGAGAAAGCTCTTAACTGTGCTGAATGCTACTGGAGAACATCAATAAAAGCAGCAAGTAATTGCTTTCTTAGAAAGATTGATGAGTAGTTTACAAATAAAGAATGAAAGATGTTCTATCTATGTAACAATATGGCTGGAGTGGCTTGGGAATGGATCTTGGCTACCATATGAAGAAATTTTAAAAATTTTGTTTACATCTAACAGGAGAAACAACAGAAGTGTTTTAATTAGGTCCATAGGACATGCCTGGTTTAGATTTTAGGACGAGTCTTCCCTCAGCATTGTAGAAAGCAGTTTGGAGGAAGCTAAGGCAGAATGAGTGACCAGAGGGACAGTGGCCATAATATGAACCAGCTTGAGCCTTCATTGGCTCCTCTTTAGCAATCATACTTCCCTTCCCAAAATCTTTCCACTTCCCATTTGCTGCCTGTAGCATAACACCCAGTCTCCATAGTTCATAAAGGGCCCAGGATCTTCCCAAGCTCATTCCACACAAATCCCCCAACATATAGCCAAAATTTCAAACTCACTGGATCATTTTCTGCTCCTGCAGCAAGGATCAGCGCTTTCCCAAGCATCATAACTGTGCTTGCATCCTTCTGTAGACTAGACTGGTGCTAAGCAAACTGTGCTCACATACCAAACCTGGCCCAGTGCCTGCTTTTGTGAATAAAGTATTGCGGGAACACAGCCATACCATTTGTGAGCACATTGTGGCTGCCTCTGCACCTACCATAGCTGGCTGCACATCACAACAGAGATCTCATGACTCACAAAGCTGAAAACACTGACTACCTGCCCGTGGGCAGAAAAGCTTTGCCAATCACTGAGCTAGAGTGCTAATTTTTCTCTCCTTTTCACACTTGTAAGATAGGTAGCCCTTTTTAAATTGACCTCAACATCCTTCTCGGAGGAAGGCTTTATTTTAACCATTCCAGTCAAAAATGTTTCATATCTTCTACTTACCTCATCTAGCATTTCTTTTCAATTTCATACTGCCTTAATCTATACTTTTGCTTTTGCTTGGTTTTCTATGTATCTTTCTTTCACTTAGAATCTAAGCTTGGAGCTAGGAGTTTTTTGGGGTGTTCTTGGTGGTAGCGGTACTGGGGTTTGAACTTGGGGCCTCACTCTTGCTAGGCAGGTGCTCTACCACTTGAGCCAATTCTTTACCTACTTATCCATGTCTGGTTTTTAGGTTTTCTATCCATAAAACACCTCAATATATAGGTGGAATATGATAAATTATATAGGATAAATTTTATCTATAACTATGTACGACATAAGTTCTATTATGTGCCTAAGCCTAGATTTTTGAGTGTTTACCATGTGTCACTTTCCTGCCAACTACTTTTCATAAAATTATTCCACTTAGTGTTCATAACTACCAAATAAAAGGAGTACATATGTGATCAACACTTTATAGACAAAGAAAGAAAGCTTAGAAAGGTTAAGACATTTTATGAACTTTAGTGCTGTCAATGAGGTTAAATTTCATGTTCAAGGGCCTCCTAACTGTTACTGAATGGTTAAATCTGCCCACTGTACAGCATGGTGCCTTGTGACCCTAGTAGACTTGAGGGAGAAGCAACCAAGCTAAAAAAGTCCCAAAAAACTGGAGGTATTTTACCTTAACAAATACAACACCATAGGTTCAGAGTATAGGTAACAGTGGTATCAGTTTGTGTAAAATATTTGAAATGACGATTTCTTATACCCACATCTGAAAATGAATGAACACATCTTTTGGTTTGCATTGGAGTTAATCAGTGTAAACCAAAGCTGCATCAACCCACCTGAGCCAGAGCCCATCGGCCTCTACATCCAGGTGCAGCCAGTCCTCACTCCCTCCCTCAGTTGAATTTCACCTCTTTGACATTGCAGTGTAATGGAAAAGAGCATGTCGAAGTTATAAAGACGGAAGTTCAAGCACTATATCTACCACTGACAGATTGTGTCTTTGTGTAACTTTTAACTTTCTTTAGATTCAGATCTTCATGCACAAGAAAAAAAAAGTGATTATAACCCTGCTGTGAGGATCGTTTTGAGTTGTAGAATGTGAGAATATATAAAATTCCTAGTAATGCTTGCTGGATGTTTAAGGATGAAGAGGATAGTACAGAGGGCGGAGTGGCTTATGTAGTAGAGTACCTGCCTAGCAAATGTCAGGCCTTGGTTTCAAATCCCAGCACCAACTAAAAAAAGAAAAAAAAAGAAGATAGTACAGGACAATCTAATAAAATTCATATCTTTACAACAATTAAGGAGGACCACAGAAGTAAAAAAGAGCCATGAGTGATGAGATTTCTATTTTCTTGTTACTCTCTAACTTTAAAAATTATGTCCACAAAACAATGTGTGAACCTTGAAGTTGAGCTACTTCTTCTGTAGCTGCTCTCTAGGACCCCACCTCAGACACAAAATCAGGAGTATATCCAGATAGCTTTTCTCTTCAGAATGAAGAGAGAATATATTCTCAGTGGAAACTTCTGCTGGTTAACCAGTCTGGCTAGCATCAAACTATTCATGAAGATGTCATATCTCTGCTGACAAGAAAGCAACATAGCCATATGAGGAATGAGAAACGAAAGAACTGGAACCAGGAATGTCTCTATAAATAATCTGTTTGTTAGTTTTTCTGAATAGATCATATATGTCAAACACAGTGTTTTGTCTTTAAAGAACAAGATCTTCAACTGATTTTCTCTGGTTTTGTATGGTATCAAGCAGAAAAAAAAATTCTTAGGTTGAATTTTTAAATAGTCATTTATAATCCTGTCCAGTAAGCATAGTACTAGAAGGAAGCCCTGGTTTAGGCGTTCAGGCTATGTATTTAAAATGCAACAGTGTTCTGGGTTTTCTCTGTGGCTCCACAGGCCTGGAGAGGCCTGACAACCCTGCAGAGACCTGCTTGAGGTCACTGGATGTTGTCAACATGATGGTCACATAAAATTTGAAGGTTTGTCTTCTAGCCACATTCCTTCACTGCTCTGTGATCTTACTTGTGATATTTTTCTCTACATCCCTGCCTGAATTTTTAATTGTAGTAAATAAGATGTTATAATATTGTAACTAAAGGAAATATGCTCACTCTACTTTAGCTATAGCATCGTTGGAGGAAACGGTCAGTTCACCATCAACCCATCCACAGGACAAATCATCACGAGTGCGTTGCTAGACAGGGAAACAAAAGATAACTACACGTTAGTAGTCGTCGCCAGTGACGCTGGGTCCCCAGAGTCTCTCTCCAGCTCCACCAGTGTGCTTGTCACTGTGACCGATGTCAATGACAATCCACCAAGATTTCAGCACCACCCATATGTCACACACATCCCGTCTCCTACTCTTCCAGGTAACCAGTCTAAATGAGGTCACATGCTGCACTCACTGCGTGTTGGGTGTGTTCTGTGAATACATTTTAGGTTTTTTACATATTTATTTCTTATATATTTCTGATATAGCCTAATTTTGCAAAATTCAGGTTGGTTTTGTCTACTGAAACTGAAGAAAATTTGAATTTGAATCTTATAAAAAAATTAACTTTTTTCCTCAGACTAATTGTGCATAGAATTTTGTAAGTGAACTTTAATCTTTTGTTAACTTGAGAATCGATACCAATTAAAAGCATCAAATCCATAAAAAATCCCCCCAAAAATGCAAATATAGAAGTCATATATCTGTTTAGATGAAATGATGCTGGCAGTCCTGACTCTAATTATATCCAGTGTGACGGTGAAGTGTCAGATCTCCTGTCCAAAATGACATGTGCTTTGCACCTTTCTCTCATTTCATTTATACGCTTAGTAAGAATCACTGCCTTGTCAATAATATGAAAATAAGAAAATTAAAAGAGGAAAAAGAAGAATCATTGCCTTCTTAAAACAATTTAAGATGCTTAGCTTTTATCACATGTGGGAGTGTTTAGAAAGGATATTTGAAGGAGTATTTTGAAAAATGTGTCCTCATGGAAGCTTTTCTTTATACTTCTATTAAAATCTGTTCCATTGGCATTCATTCTAGGCACCAAGTTTTGAAAACCTAAATTAATTCCATCTTTCTTCAGTTGTTATTTCTTACCACTGTATTATTACTTGAATTTATTTATGCATATATTCATACATATGTGTAAATGTAAATATATATTCACACACACTTTATCTCCACATAATAGTGGTTCACAGATGAAAGAATTTTGCCATGAAACGGGATATTATGAATTAACAATAGTTTTTTAAAACATCATTTTTGTTCACAGGATTGAATATTTAGTAATTCAGTGGCATTTTAAGACATAATAGAGCGATGACCTCTTTTCACTGGGTGGTAGCATAGCTCTTTGCACAGCTCACATACCACCACAGTTTTTGGAATGTTGTCTTGTGGGCAGATTTTCCTCCTAGGAGCTATGATTCTGAATGATTAGCCAGTTCTCTTCCCTGTACTTCTCTCAAAGGCATACTGAAAAATATTAAATCCAGCAGACTGTATAAGTTTTAGTGAGAAAATTAAAGGTCACTCTCTGAACACTATCATTAAGCAGATTTGACTTGGGAGCTTCTCTCCCAAGACTGTTCTCTCCAGTAGTCATGAGAAAAAGTCAGACCAAGCAGCAATATAGTGTTTTATGTGCCTTAAACTACCACCAAACGTTTTATTTGGATTCCGCATGATTATAACTATAAACTCCCTCTTTTATAGGTTCCTTTGTCTTTGCGGTTACAGTCACAGATGCTGATATTGGACCCAATTCTGAACTGCATTATTCTCTCTCAGGCAGAAACTCTGATAAATTTCACATTGATCCACTGAGGGGAGCAATCATGGCATCCGGAACACTAAATGGAGCCTCAGAGCTGACATTTTCTGTACATGTCAAAGACGGTGGTTTATTTCCTAAGACAGACTCTACAACAGTGACTGTTAGGTTTGCAAGCAAGCCAGATTTCCCTAAAGTCAGAGCCAAAGAACAAACATTCATGTTTCCTGAAAACCAGCCAGTAGGCACTCTCGTCACCACCATTATAGGGTCCTCTTTGAGAGGAGAAACTTTGTCCTATTATATTGCAAGTGGGAACCTTGGCAATTCCTTTCAGATTGATCAACTGACAGGACAAGTATCCATTAGTCAACCTTTGGATTTTGAAAAGATACAAAAATATGTAGTATGGATAGAAGCCAGAGATGGAGGTTTCCCCCCATTCTCTTCTTATGAGAAACTTGACATAACAGTATTGGATGTCAATGACAATTCCCCAATTTTTAAAGAAGATCCATTTGTATCTGAAGTATTAGAAAACCTTTCTCCTCGAAAAATACTTACTGTTTCAGCAATGGATAGGGACAGTGGACCAAATGGACAGTTAGATTATGAAATTGTTAATGGAAACAAAGAAAATAGTTTTAGTATCAATCACGCTACTGGTGAAATTAGAAGCATTCGACCATTAGACAGAGAAAAAATATCTCATTATGTGCTTACCATAAAATCTTCAGACAAAGGTTCTCCATCTCAGAGTACCTCAGTAAAAGTCATCATTAACATTTTAGATGAAAATGATAATGCTCCTAGGTTTTCTCAAATCTTTAGTGCACATGTGCCTGAAAACTCTCCTTTGGGATTCACAGTTACACGTGTCACAACTTCTGATGAAGACATTGGTGTAAATGCAATTAGTAGATATTCTATAATGGACACGAGTCTTCCATTTATAATTAATCCCAGCACAGGAGATATCATTATTAGTAGGCCTTTAAATAGGGAAGATACAGATCGATACAGAATCCGAGTTTCTGCACATGACTCTGGGTGGACTGTGAGCACAGATGTAACAATATTTGTGACAGATATCAATGACAATGCCCCGAGGTTTAGTAGACCCTCTTATTATTTAGATTGCCCTGAACTTATGGAAACTGGCTCCAAGGTAACTCAGGTATCTGCAACAGATCCAGATGAAGGATCAAATGGACAAGTATTTTATTTTATAAAATCTCAGTCAGAGTATTTCAGGATTAATGCCACCACTGGAGAGATTTTCAATAAGCAAGTCTTAAAATACCAAAATGTCAGTGGCTTCAGTAATGTGAACATCAACAGGCATAGTTTTATAGTGACATCTTCAGATCGAGGCAATCCTTCTCTACTCAGTGAGACAACGGTCACCATCAACACAGTGGACAGTAATGACAATGCGCCTCAGTTCCCTAAAAGTAAATATTTCACTCCAGTCACAAAAAACGTTAAAGTTGGTACAAAGTTGATCAAGGTGACTGCAGTAGATGACAAGGACTTTGGGCTGAATTCTGAAGTGGAATATTTCATTTCTAATGAAAATCATTTAGGAAAATTTAAGTTGGACAATGATACAGGATGGATTTCAGTGGCATCTTCCCTAATTTCTGACTTGAATCAAAACTTTTTGATCACAGTCACAGCAAAGGATAAAGGAAATCCTCCACTTTCTTCCCAAACAACGGTCCAAATAACTGTCACGGAGGAAAACTACCACACGCCTGAATTTTCTCAAAACCACATGAGTGCCACTATTCCTGAGGGCCACAGCATTGGGGCTGTGGTCAGAACTGTGTCAGCCAGAGATCGTGATGCAGCTATGAATGGTTTGATTAGGTACAGCATTTCTTCAGGAAATGAAGAAGGCATTTTTGCCATCAATTCTTCCACAGGTGTATTAACGTTAGCCAAAGCTCTTGATTACGAGCTATGCCAGAAACACGAAATGACTATTAGTGCTACAGACGGAGGATGGGTTGCAAGAACTGGTTACTGCAGTGTGACTGTAAATGTGATTGATGTGAATGACAATTCTCCAGTATTTGTTCCCGATGAATATTTCCCTAGTGTTTTAGAAAATGCCCCAAGTGGGACAACAGTTATCCACCTAAATGCAACAGATGCAGACTCTGGAACTAATGCTGTGATTGCATATGCTGTTCAGTCATCGGACAGCGACCTCTTTGTCATTGACCCCAACACAGGAGTCGTCACCACTCAAGGCTTCTTGGATTTTGAAACCAAGCAGAGTTACCATCTTACTGTGAAAGCCTTCAATGTCCCAGATGAAGAAAGGTGTAGTTTTGCTACAGTTAATATACAATTAAAGGGGACCAATGAATATGTGCCTCGCTTTGTTTCCAAACTTTACTATTTTGAAATCTCAGAAGCAGCAACTAAAGGTACTATTGTTGGAGAAGTGTTTGCCAGTGACCGTGATTTGGGCACTGACGGGGAGGTGCACTATTTGATTTTTGGTAACAGTAGAAAGAAGGGCTTTCAGATCAATAAGAAGACCGGACAGATTTATGTTTCTGGTCTTCTTGATAGAGAAAAGGAAGAAAGGGTATCTTTGAAGGTGTTGGCCAAGAATTTTGGCAGCATTCGGGGTGCAGATATAGATGAGGTCACTGTAAATGTCACTGTGCTCGATGCAAATGACCCACCTGTTTTTAGTCTAAACATCTATAGGGTTCAGATCAGTGAGGGAGTCCCAACAGGAACTCATGTGACCTTCGTCAGTGCATTTGATTCTGACTCCATCCCTAGCTGGAGCAGGTTTTCTTACTTCATTGGATCAGGGAATGAAAATGGTGCCTTCTCTATCAATCCACAGACAGGGCAAATCACGGTCACTGCAGAATTAGATCGAGAAACATTGCCTGTCTATAATCTCACAGTCTTGGCTGTTGATTCCGGAACCCCCTCGGCTACAGGAAGTGCCTCCTTATTAGTAACCCTGGAAGACATAAATGATAATGGGCCCATGTTAACCATCAGTGAAGGGGAAGTTACAGAAAATCAACGCCCAGGAACGCTGGTGATGACCCTCCAGTCCTCTGATCCTGACCTCCCTCCAAACCAAGGCCCCTTTACTTATCACCTGCTGAGCACAGGTCCTGCCACCAATTATTTTAGTCTGAATGCTGCTGGAGTTCTAAGCACAACCAGAGAAATAGACAGAGAGCAGATTGCAGACTTCTATCTGTCTGTGGTCACTAGAGACTCTGGTGTTCCTCAAATGTCTTCCACAGGAACTGTGCACATCACAGTCAAAGACCAAAATGACAACCCTTCACAATCTCGGACCGTGGAGATATTTGTTAATTATTATGGAAGCTTGTTTCCTGGTGGGATTTTAGGCTCTGTGAAGCCACAGGATCCAGACGTGTTAGATAGCTTCCACTGTTCCCTGACTTCTGGAGTTACAAGCCTCTTCAGTATTCCAGGGGGCACTTGCAATCTGAATTCCCAGCCAAGGTCCACAGATGGCACTTTTGATCTAACCATCCTTAGCAATGATGGAGTCCACAACACAGTTACAAATAATATCCGAGTTTTTTTTGCTGGGTTTTCCAATGTTACAGTGGACAATAGCATCTTACTTCGTGTTGGTGTACCAACAGTCAAGGACTTCTTGACTAATCACTACCTTCATTTCCTACGTATTGCCAGTTCACAGCTAACAGGCCTCGGTACTGCAGTGCAACTTTATGGTGCCTATGAAGACAACAATAGAACTTTTCTTTTGGCTGCTGTGAAGCGAAATAGTAATCAGTATGTGAATCCCAGTGGGGTAGCCACCTTCTTTGAAAGCATCAAAGAGATCCTTTTCCGGCAGAGTGGAGTCAAGATAGAATCTGTGGATCATGACGCGTGCGTCCACAGTCCGTGTCAGAATGGAGGAAGCTGTGTTAGGAGACTGGCCGTGAGCTCCACGATGCACAGCCAGGAAAGCCTTCCTGTTATCATTGTGGCAAATGAACCTTTGCAGCCTTTCTTATGCAAGTGTCTTCCAGGATATGCTGGTAGCTGGTGCGAAATTGACATAGATGAATGCTCTCCAGCCCCTTGCCACAATGGGGGCACCTGCCACAATTTAGTGGGAGGTTTTTCATGCAGCTGTACAGATGGCTTCACTGGGAGGGCCTGTGAGAGAGACATCAATGAGTGCCTGGCTACCCCTTGCAAGAATGGGGCTGTCTGCCAGAATTTTCCTGGAGGCTTCAACTGTGTTTGCAAAACTGGATACACAGGTATGACAGTGTTTCACTTTTTTTCTTTCCCCTAAGACTTTAGCTATGTCATGTATAATAGGAAATAATGATTTTTTTTTCTGTGTCATTTTTAAGTGTCATTCCACAATAGTGACCACAGCAAATAGTTTCAAACCTTGGTCAGATACTGTTCTACTCACTTTATGCATGCTTATTTTATTTCAAAATATCTATGAGATAGGAGTATTTTCTAGTTTTTATAGAGAAAAAAGTTGAACTCCAGAGAAGTTCCATTTGTTTTTGAAGGCCATCTTGTTAATTTGTGGACATGTCGTCACTCAAGTCTACACAGTTAATTTCAGAGCTCAAACTCTGGGTCAGTCTACTCAGCATATCTTACAAGAAAACAAAGAAATTATCTTCCTAGAAGAGTGCTATAAATTTTAATACATAGTAAATATAAAGTATGAAACTAGGCAATTTTATGTCCTAAATGATTGTTAGCAATTATTGTTGTCGCTTCTTTTATCACCATCATTTTATGATATTTTAAAAATCCTAATAATGTTTATTAGCAATCCGAACTGTGAGGAGAATTCAACAAAAGTCTTGATTTATGATTAAGAATAAAATAGCATATTATTTCTAGTGGGTGGGTAGAAAGGCTGATTTCTCAAGTAAGTCAGAAAAGATTTAAATTAATCCACAATTCACCTTAACATTTTAGAAGCAGCATTAAACCCATAGCAGCAGATATGTTCAATTGTTCTTTGATATCTCATGGGATGTGATATCCATCTCTGTTTCCATCCCATCTACCTGTCTATATCATCACCTGTCTATCCTTGTCAATCATTATCAGCTGTCTTAAACATCTATCTAATCCCTATCATCATTATTATCTGTCTATCTTCATCTATACAGTTATTAACTGATTAATGGTCTGAGTTCCTTCAGAACTCTATCCTGTTGATAATTTTGAAGAATATAGAATTCTTACCTATAGTGTGCACATTTTACATTTTTAGAACAAACATACTACACTGGATTGCTCTGAAAGTTTTATAACCACAATTTGAAGTGCTAGTGAAATAGGAAAAGTAGTATTAGTGTAGTGGTAGGAATGGAGTTATACCTAGGTAGGACAAGGTAACTGTGATCCTCAGCAAAGTTGTGACTTTTGGATCATAAATATTAAAGCTATATGTTCATGCTGAGTTCAAGATGTCCAGAAACCTCTCTTCATTCTTTCCCACCCACCCCTAAATTACTTCCTTGTCTCAGAATTGAAGAATAAAGATTATTTCTTTGTTCTATTTTAGTAAAATGTACTTATTTCTACTTAGATTTGAAGTGAGTTTATATTTAGTCCTAGAAGGAAGAAACATGAATATGCTTTATCTTGCTATGGAGCAGGGTAAGAACATTGGTGTGCACGAAGCCCTGTGTGACAAGGGGCACAGCACTTCTCTCTAGACTCTTTCTCCCTTTATTCCATCATATTTAGGTGTCCACAATGCATTTTTCTAAATGTGATAAGTGAAACTTTTAGGAAACCCCTTCTGTTCATCATAGACTGTTTTTATAAAAACATTTATCAAGTGGTTATATAAAGCACTACTTGAGTCTCCTTGCCTTATGAACGTTATAACTTTTATCACGGCTCTGTAAGATGAGTGTAATGACTATTTCTAGTTTAAAGACAAAAATCTGGTATTGGAAGAGTAAAAGAGATCAAATAACTTGCTCTTGTGGCAAAGGAAGTGTCCATCAGCTTGAGTTGGGAGCACCTGTATGTGTGTCTCACCTCCTCCTGCTCTGATCTGTACTTTCTATAGAGTATTACGGTGAGTTCTTGGTATCTTGTAAGATTATTATGTCTATTTTTACTTTCTGGTCACAAAAGTCTGTGAGATGTGCTCAAGTGTGGTCAAGAACTGTAGCTACTCTGGACTGTCAGGCAGGAAGATGTTTGATGGAAGTAGCTTACAAAATCTCCACACAGGCTGACAGTACAGATGGTGAGAATTCATCATTTATGTCAGCAACAGGACATTGCAGGGACTTCATAAAGCCACTGCCACCACCTTGTGACCTACAGAGCTGCAGTGAGTTCTCCCAGGAGAACAGCTCCTGCTTTGCTTACCCTTCAAGCATCATCAACCCCGCCCTCACTGCCAAAATAGCAACCTGTGCAAAGAAGAAAGTTTGGGAACCTCAGTGCTCAGCCTTCCAGTCCCTGAAACAGAAAGAGGAAGATACTGAGTACCAGGATGATATCTGGCAACAGAGGGTTTATTATAATGCCTTCTTTACACTGTAGGAAACTGAGCCTCTGTTCTAGGCCAGTGACTATGTCATAACTCCATCCTGAAAGAAAAGTTATCTAAAGTAATACATTAGTGCCACATCTGTCCCCTCAGAGCTCATTCCAGTCTCCATTTGCATAATTGGAGATAATCCAGTTAATCAGAAGTGATATAAACAAACATAAAATTCAGTATTAGGAATCTTACATTTTTAGAGATCATGTGATTCATTATTTCAAATTCTTTATGTACAGCCCATCTAGTAAAACTAGCAGTTAAGGCTGATGGTTTCATTTCTTTTCTCTATTTTGCATGAAACAATATAACAGGAAACAGCACATTACTTCAAACTCTTTGTTAGCAACGTATTGTTTGTATTTCTACATTTGTTCAATGGTCTTTGTAAAGGCCATCCCTGAAGAATTACTTTGACTCATTTTTTCTAGCTAGATTCTCGCCAGGCACTCAGACTCTGGGAGGTGGAGCTAATGCACCAGAACATTGACAAAAGCTAGTCTAACGTGATGGGCCACAGCACAGTCATGCTTATGCATGTGTGTCTTGTGAAATAAATATTTGAAAAATTCCTATACTAGCTAGATATTACTTTTTATCTTTTCTATTAAATTAATCCATAGTAACTATACATATTAATGGGTACTAGAGGACATCGTGAAATAAGCCAGGAACAGAGACAAATATCCCAAGTTCTCGCTCAGATTTGGAATCTAGAAACGGCAACAGAAAGTAGAATAGTAGTTGTTAGAGAATGGGAAAGATGGAGGGAGGAAAGAGAAAAGGAGGTCAGAGAGGAGGCAGATATTCCTTCTCTTCATGATAATTGAATACCCTGCCTTTTAAAAGCCTGTTTCCCTAAGACCTGTATATATTCACGTATCTTTGGTGCTGAAAGTTATTTTGAGTCGCCTCAGTTTTTTCATACTGTATTTACATTTGTAGGCTCTCACCTGCATCTTTTATCTATGATTTTCAAAGTCTGTGGATTACAAATTGAAGGGGCAGCATGCTGCTCCATCACACCCACACACGATGGACACACACACCACCGTGCTAAATTGGGTATGGTGCTCATGCCTGTCATCCCAGCTACATGAAAGGCTGAGCTCTGGAGGACTGAGGTTCAAGAACAGCCCAGGGAAGTGGTTCTCAAGACCCAATCTCCACAATCACTAGCGCAGACATAGTGGACTGGAGCTGTGACTCACGTGATAGGGCGCCTGCTTTGCAAGCATGCAGCCCTGAGTTCAGACCCCTGTCCCACCAAAAAACAAACAAACAAAAAAAAACAAGAGAGAGCGAGCGAGCGAGAGAAAGAACCTTCTAAAGATTAGAAGGTCTCAACCTCTCAAGGCTTATGAATCAACACAAGCTGAGATTTTATGCATGAATCACAGAAATTTTGCAAAGAAGGCATCTTGTAAAGATGCGTGTACAAAAAGGAGAATTATGGAATGAATGAAATACGTAATTAGTATCATATTGCCAATGTTTATTCTTCACATCTCTATTTTTTTAATTTTATGTTCCAGTGTGACCATAGGGCCATGTGTATCATAAGTATGTAATAAATATTTTTAATTAATGAGTGAATTAGAGAGGGGGTTAATTTATTTATGTAACTTATGTTTCACATCTTTTTCTTAGTTGCCAGATAAAGAATAAGTGAAAAATGTCAAAAATAGTAAGATTGTAACATATTCAGTTAAAATTTCTGTTACATTAAGAAAAATTTTCTGTAATCTGACTTTCATATCACTAAACGAATCTTCAATTAGCTATAGTATAGAGTATTAGAAAACATTAATATATTTATTATGCTATAGAATATGTGAATGTTAATTTCCAGATTTTCACAAAATTTAATAAATACCAAAAATTGTATCATTATCAATATGTATAAGCAAATCAAATAAAAACCTTTCAAATTATTCACACCTCAGATTTAGTGGTCTCTGCAGGAAAGCATCAATCTAATAGCTATAAATCCGGAATTCCTTTTCCTCTCTACAAAGGGAAATGCCTTGTTTATATAGAACAACAGGAAGGAAGCACAGTCCAGCCAGCACCCACCTCAGCAAGTGTCTTCCTCCTCCCAGGACATCACCATTTGCGGCACACACAGCGATCATCCTTCCAAGGAGTGGGTGGTGCCGTTAAACACAGCATGCAGGCAGAGCTCAGATCTAAACAGGATCTCTCATAACATGAGGAGTTCATTGCGCCTCTAACCTTTCTGTTCACTCACACATCTGGATGCATTTTAGGTGTGGTATTTGGAATAATGCCAGGGGTCTATTACCATGTGAAGTTTTCCTAGGTTCTCAAGTAAGTCCTAGTATTTCAGGAGAGGGTGAACTTGTCCATTCATCACTTTTGTGTCATTTGACAAAACAAACAGTAAGGTTTTTTCCAGACATAGAAAGTTATGTAAACATTGTGCATAATAATTTTCCTGCGAAGCTTGGCAAACATTTGCTTGCATAAAATGGAAATACTAAATAAGAGTCATTTTTTAAAATCACTACTGTCGCATATGAATGCTAGTAATCATGCTATAAGAAAACCATAGGACGTAAAAGAGATTTAGTGAATAGTTATGAAATAAAAATTTCTTTGAGATATAGAAGGATGACTCGCATAACAAAGGATAAAAGATTCACCTTTTGTTATGACCTTTTTTCCAAAATGAGATTGGGTGATTTTTATTAAGTGATGCATTACTTTATTAGGACATTAACATCTTATTTCTAGTAGCTTAAATGCTTCTTTTTCTGCAGAAAATAAGCATTTAATTATAAGTAGGCTTGCCATGAATATTATGTCATTCTGCATAATCATTTGTAGACATTTTGATTATATTCGTTGTGTCTTTTCTTACTGTTTTTCCCTGTTAACACGTGGCACTTTTGCATTTGTTTGGAAATAATAAAATATAATGCTTCTGTCCAGGACACTTAGAGTAAGCAAGTACCTTGATAATAACTTTCCCAATCATGGGGAACAAAGTGTGCAAAAACTAGCTACTTTCTACCAAATTAATTTAAAAAAACTCTAAGCATAAATGTTTAGAATGAACGATAACTATTATAGAATTATATCTATTAACAAAGTTATTAATTTAGATCAAGTGGAGTTTCATGGTTTCTTTATGCCACCTTCTTCTCTATGTATAAAAATAAGAAACAATAATATTTGTGGTAGTCTAGTATAGACATGACTAAGAGAGCAAATTGAAGGATATGAGAACTATAGGATCTCAAAAAAATCATGATGTCTTTGAGGGGTGGCCCAGTTTAACAGTTAAAAATTCATTTAGTTCAGTCTACATAATTTAGTTTTTAAATGTGCTGTTGGACAAGTAAAACTTGAATATATAATCGTGTTGAAAATACCATAGGTGATCACAGTTTATGTTCAACCATCATCACATCTTCTACACTTAAAGATGTAGATCAGGCTAATTTTTTCCTATAAATTTCAACTAGAATCTGGGAAATTCTGTGGAGGCCCAGGCCTCACTATTATGCATTTTCCATCTTCAGCAGTTCCCATCCTCCATTTGCTAAGAATTTATACAACCCGAAGCACATCTCCTTCTGTCTATGATAAATAGTATGTGTCAACACAATTAATTGATGGATGTCAACACAATGAGATCACTTTGACAGTAAACATATCTTAATAGGCAAAGTCTCCTTGCCTTCAGAGTGATGGATGCCTTTCTTTGTTCAAGTCCTGTCAGTATACTTCCAAGCCTCGAAGCACTGACAACTATTCTTAATTGACTTGCAGCATTAAGTTAATGATCCAAGAATTCATTTAGCAGTGTTTCAACACATCAGATTACTATACCAAGAACATGTTCAAGTAATTCAAACTGCTATATTCTCTGATTGTCATTATACCATTAATGCTACAGTTTTAGTAGAGAGACCTGTGCGAAATAATACAGAATTTGTTGTGATTTCTAATTGGGTAATGAAGTGTGAGCTTCCCAAGTTGGAGAAATATGCATTCAGAGGCTCTCTTTTGATTCTAAATAAAATTATGACATCCTTTTCTCACACAAAATAAAAGGGGTCTTTTCAGTAATAACTTAACCATTAAGGTTTTGGTTTTGTTCAGGCTGTCCTTGAACTCACATTGTATCTCAGGGAAGCCTTGAACTCATGATCCTCCTGAATTTGCCTCCCAGGTCCTTGGATTGCATGCTTGTGACTCTGCACCTGACTAAATACTCCAACTGTGTCTTTGAATGTCAATATCTGTGATGGCTAACTCATTGAGATTAAGAATTTTTTAATAATTTTTATTCAGAAAACGAAGAACTAGGTTTTAGAATGGCAAATGTTTTGCATACTCCAATGTCAACTATATTTTTCCAAACAGAGATAATTTCCTTTATTTAACTCCTAACAAAGTTATTTTATATATTTTTGATAATCATCTTCTAAGAAAAAATGAGAAAATAAAACTTTAATTGAAATGCTAATTAAAAGGTTGAATTTGTTTTCTCTGACCAGTTTCCATTTTTATTGTTTTATATCTGAAGAATCAGACTCTATTGAGAGTTTAAATTTTCAAAGATATTCATTCTCAGAATATTTCTTAATTTCTAACTCTTCTGCCTCATCTTCAGTTATTGCATATTTTTAAACACATGAATAAGTCTTCTTTATTTTAGGGTGTTTTCTACCCTTCTCTTTGAATTAATTGCAATAGATTATAGTTTATATTTAAATTAAACTCAGATGTCTATGTGAAATGATTTCTTAAGAGGTAAATAAGATATGTAATTAATATAAATTACACAGAAAAAGAAAACACCTACACTTCTTTTATGTTTAGATCAAAAATATAAAAGATAGCATTTTCAATAGACTTAAAAAAATAGAATTAAACTATATAACATGAATAACTTGAGTTTTTACATTTTTATATTTTTTGCTTAGAGAGCAGATAAACCCAAGTATGTGACAGTCACCCCTAAACTTGTTATCCTTGGTTCCCCATTTCTAGTCTTCAACAGGCAAAGTTGGTAATTCTGTAATCTACTAAAATGCTGTCATGACATCCCCACAAAGTATATGAATCCATAAACTTAATATATATTGTTTACTTTAAATTTTTTTCAGACAAAGAAATAAAAACCATATTTAGTCCAGTAGCAAAAATTATATATTCCCTTATAGTGAAAAACAAAGGAAAGTGTGGGAAATTACTTTCCCAATGGCAAATAAATAGTAAAAAAGCTTAGCCAGTGAGTTCTGCTGATTCTCCATGGAATGATACTGGTGTTGTATGAAAAAAGAAAACTCCACATCTCTAAAATGCTCTACCAGTAGCTGGTTGGAAAACAGAATAGGAGGGAGTATGCTTCTGTGAAACACCAGCTTCCTGTTGAAGTCCTGGACGAGCTTGCAGAGACGCTGTCTTGTCCATTTCTCAAATTCACCACGTTGCCACAATATTTAAAACCTAATTGTTGTGCCTCTAAATTAGTAACTTGTTTATTTTCCAGTTGTCCCCTTAGAATAGAAGAGTGTTCTGAAATTCCCAGCTCGGTGTTTTGCCTTGTAAGGAGGTTACCAATTATATTTATAATGGAAAACATTGTGTTTATGATTCTGTGATGCACAGAGATGGGTTTAGTTAGCAGTGTCCCGTGGCCTGACTCACACTTAGAATTCGAGACCAGAACAATTGTGGCTGCGCAATCAAGACACAAAAACAAAACTAACTTAAATAAAAACTTTGTCTATGCATCAAGAAAAGTGACTGTGATATAATAATGCATTACCTTGTCCAACAGTGAGTCTGATTGTGCAGATTAATTGTGTATTTTCCTGTCGTCTATAAATCATAGTTAGTGCAGTCCTTTAGGGAAGTAGAAAATAGATTTGTAGAAATGAGCTACAGCAATTAAACCCTGCCAGCCAATGGAAATTAGCTAAAACTGTAACATCTCACTGATTTTTGGAATTGGAAAACTAGACATCGTTCTAGCAGATATTTAAAATGACTGATAATTTAAAGTTATAGAACAATAATAATACAACATATCTGAGTTTATGTAAAAGCAAACAACAACAAAACCAAATAGGACTTATACCTATGTCCTGTCAACCAAGTGATCAAATAGTCATTCATCACTTTGTGGAAACTGAGAATATTATCTTGTAAGGGTTTCTTCACCCTGACCTGTGAAACACACACCTTCCTGCTATATGGATTGCTTCCCTGTTAAAATGGAAGCACCCTGCAAGATAGCTCTTGGCTTCTGTCCCTGCTGCATCTCCATCCATTATCATACCAAGAATATTGCGTCATTGTTGGTTGATTTGATTTAGCAAGATGAACCATGAGGAAATCTTTATATGCTGAAAAATGTGCTACTTGAGTATTGTCATTTCAGAAAAAGACAGCCCCTACATAAACTGTACTCAGTACATTTCACAATGTGCTCCACGTTTATCTTATTCAGCTTTATGCAAGGCATGTATGAAGGACATTTCTTGGCTTACTAAAAAGATTCATCTTAGCTTTGAAAAACTTGAGGGAATGAAGTCTTTAGAGTAGCAAGAATGTGGTAAAAGTTTCAACTCTCATCCTCAAAATTTAAAAGATGGAGTACCACCAAAGACAATAAATTCAGGGAAATTATTTAAATATAAGTCACTGTCATTTCCCTGAAAATTGGATTTTTTCCAAGATGATTTTGCAAATTTCCTGCATATTGTACACATCATTACAATACCATAGGTAAGGAAGACCTCAAACTCTGAGCTATCACTTCAGTTTCCTCATGTCAAGTGAAATGTTTTTATATTTCCTTTATCCAAGACATGGTCTCCCAGTTGTAGAGTTCTACCTAAAGCTGTACTGCAGTGTTCATGTATTTGTGCATATAAGATGTAATGTAAGTTCCTTTTTTTAACAAGTGTGATGCATTTTAGGGAAAATGTGTGAGTCTTCAGTCAGTTACTGTGACTGCAACCCCTGCTTTAATGGTGGCTCCTGCCAAAGTGGTGTGGATTCATATTATTGCCATTGTCCATTCGGTGAGTATAACTTGGTTTTTATATTAAAATACCTGTCTTTTTTGGCACACAGTTTCACAATTTTGTCCTATGACCATGAATGATTAAGAAAATACTCTTTTGCACAGGAGATTATAGTACAATGAAACTTAAATGTTTAACACTTTTAAAGGTTAAGTATGGAAATGCTATTAAATAGATTTCTTCAATTATTATCAAAAAACTAATCAAATCATTATAATTGAATCAGTGGAACATTGTCCCTCAAGTGTTTACAAATGTCTTCTTTTTAACCTAGAACTTACTGTTCAAAAAAGTCCTTTGAGCACTATTTGACATCATTCTCCATTTCAAATCTCTAAGAATAGTGAGTTGAAAACCATTTTTGCTTTTTCTTACTTTAATTCAGCCACTTCTATTAGAAGGGCTCAGAACCAGACATGCATTTTTCATGAAGGCTTTCTGTAGATAATTTTGTGTAATTCATCAAAATTGAGACTAACGTGTATCTTGAAGAGGAAAGTTGTTATGCAGAACTTTGCACCTGTACATGCTTACTCACCTCAGTGGGATGAGCTGAAGGGGTTTTCCGGGTCACTCTAAGTGTGGGTGCCAGCCAAGGCTGTGAGCACAGCTTTGGCTTTGATCTTAACTTGGACCCATAAATTTGTGATTATTCCATTGATTAATGACTACTTTATTTCAAACACAGAATCTGTCTAGAATCCATCGCCAGGTGCCCCACATTTTTCAGTCTTTTTGTGCATTGCACTATGATAAATGGACTGAGTAAGACATACTGTCATCCATGTAAAAAGAATCCATGACTCTCATTTACTTTCTAAGTACATTGAAAGAATCATAGAAAGAAACAGAGTATAGAAGCATCTAATTATGAGCCAAGCATTTTATCTGTGATTCTGAGTCACAGAAATTAATTTGTTCAAAGTCAAATAATGAAACTGAAAAATATCTGCCACAGATGATGTCATGACTAGAATGCAATTATTCTTTGCAGTCCATATGACATTCACAGAACCACTCCTTTGTAAATTTCTTTGAGCATCTCACCAAAAATGCCCATGAGGCTGGGAGCAGCAGCTCACACCTTTAATCTCAGGTTCTTGGGAAGATTGTGGTTTGAGGCCAGCCTGAGCAAAAAGTGAAACCGCCAAATCAATCAGTAATCCAGACATGATGGTACATACCTGTAAACACTGCAACTGTGAGGCATAGATAAGAGAACTTGCAGTCTGAGGTCAGTCTGAAAAATAGCATGAGACCCTAACTGAAAAAGTAACTAAAGCAAAAAGTGCCAGGCATAGCTCAAGTGGTAGAGCACCAGCCCAACAAGCAAGAAGCCCCCAATACCACAACCAACAAAAAAATGCTCACGAAGTAGTAAACGATACACCAAAATGCAAACAGCCATGACTTCCAATCTTCTGATACTTCTTTTCTTTCAACGTTCTCTTAAAATCCTAGACAAGGCTGCTTTTTCACATACCCATACTCAGGCTCAGTGTGGGCTCCATGGTTTTACTTGGATTTTGGAATGAAAAGAAAGTAGAAATGGAAAAGCGATTTTTATAGGAGGAGCAGAGGTGGTTAGAGGTTCAGAAATTCTTTACCCTGCAATGGCAAACACAATGCCTTCAGACAATTCATACACAGTAAAAACAGCCTGCTGCTGTGGTGTGGCTGACACGGAGTCCTTGCCTGCTGGGTAGAAGTGCCATGGATCCAGAAAGACCTTCTTCTCCCCTTGCAGACACCCTAGGGAACAGGAAGCAGCACAGCACAAATTAAGACAGACACAGGGACATGGAGCTGGCAATACAGATTCTCCCCCATCCTTTCCAGTGGCCAAAACAAAGAATGCTATTTGAGTTTAAACATTGTCAGAATGTCTAAACATTCTGTAAGAATGTTATAAAGAAACTTATAAGGTAAGAACTTATAAAGAAAATGAAACAAAAACTTTAAAATACCAATGCATAATTCAAAACTGCAAAGATTGACCTAAAAGGAAAAAGTATTTTCTTGCTCAGGTTGAATGTGAGTGAAACATACAAATAAAAATGGCAGGGGGAATGCCTCAAACAAGTAGCTGGAGGTCATCACACATGCATCCTGTAATGTAATATGTTAACTGTAACTCGTAAGTTGGAAAAAACTTGCACTGTTTACCTTCCCATCAATGAAAGATTTTTGCTCTTTGGATTTGGAAAATATTTTTAGATTCTCAGATTTTTAAAAAATATGTTTTAGGAAAAACAATGTGCCACAAACTTTATAGACAGCTGAGCTGTGCTGTTCAATTCTCAGAGCTGCTTTGTTGTATCATACAGATAATATACTACAGTACCCCAGACACTACCTGTGGAAGCTAAGCAGTGTGCTGCATGCTGAAATGGAAGTAGTCAGAGACTGTGTGTGTTTGTGCAGACACACTGCATCTGTTATGTACACACATGACACATGTGTGTGCATGTGTCATATATGACTCCTTAGTATTACATGTTTATGAATTATTCTAATATGGGTGTTAGGGAGACATATCTCTTATTAGAGTGATTTTATGATTTTTCATGATCTTTAGATAGGTTTATCATAAAGCATTCCATTTGGAAGCCAAATTTTTAAAATGTCTCATTAAATTTTATTACTATATTTGAGGGCAAGATACTATCTATAGAAACAATAACAAAACCCCTTAAGAAGAAAAGGAAACCTATAAATATTTTCAAATTTGAAAACACAGAATCAATTTGAATAAAAATGTAAAGCATCTTTCTAGCATCTGTTTACTTTCTGCATAGATTTACATTCAAATCTAACTGATTTCTACAGATTAGTTGCAATTTATTCAAAGAAGATTTAAAGAAATACATAGTACAAGTTTTTCTCCAATAGTTTATGCCATATCTTTGCTCTTTCTTTAACATCAGTTGCTCTTTTTACAAATAGAAATATTGCACAACAATGTATAATTAATATAAAGAAGTATAACTTATTGTATATTTATATAAGTGGTATGTGCAATATGTATAAATATAAATACTGTATGATAAGTATAGTTTAATGGTACATAAAAATGCAGCTGTGTAATACACTACATGTATGACATTCCTATAATTCCTTTGCCTGTTTTGACTTCAGTGAAAGATTTAAAATAATAGATTTTATATACATGTAACCTATCATTTTATATATATTGATTATGTTTTATTTGTTTTATATATGTATATTTATTCACTATTTATGATGAATATTATCTCAGTCTGGACAGAAAAGAATAAGAATAAGATAAATGACAGCAGCTTTTATCACAGCTTTTAGGCTACTTTAATTTAAACAATGTTTGGACATAAAATGTAATATAGTTATACGAACTAGACTGCTTATCAAGCTTGGAATTTTGGGTGTTCCCCATGGCTGTGCACACCTGGGTAAGTTTTGAGTGTGCTGTATAATGAAGGCACTGGTTCCTTTGAGTGAACAACTCCCTAATTCTAAATTTCATGCACTTGCAATGGATATTAGGCCAAATCAGGAAAGAAGGCTTTGAAAGTTAATAAGAATCACGATGTATTGGCATGGGTTAATTTTCCAATCGTTTGCCACAGTCTACTAATATTTGTGGGAAAAGAATTTTGGCATAGCGTTGGAACATCAATAAAACTCAGTTTTCAAGTTGGAAAAAGAACCAGCACCAACAAATGGGAATGCAAAACTTCACAAAAACAGAGTCATTTTAAAGTAGCCTACTATAAATCACTCCCAAGGAGGGTCCAAAACAAGGGAGAACCATAAACTTAAGACTGTCATTTCCTTCCCTGGAAATACTGATTCTCTTCCCTACATTTGTGACTCTTGAAATACTGCCTTGAGTATTGGGTCTGATTTTCTTTTAAGTCAAAACAAATGAGTTTACCATCCTCAATCGAAGTGAAATTGTTTTTAAGACCTGCCTATTATGAAGAAAGTATCTGGGTTGAAATTACAGCGTGTTAAAGCCTTATAAAGATCAGCCTAATTTCATACATTTCCCAGGAAAGAAATTGCTTCAGACATATTCCGTTCCACTAAGGCCTCAATTTTTAAAAAATGAGGTGTACTTAAATAAATTTCTTAATTCATCAAAAAAACCCACATCAATTTATCATCTCTGTTATAGGCTTTAAAGAGCATTATTTTAGTTTAGACATTACTTTTTTTCAGGAGTAAAAAAGTTGTTAACAGCATGATTCACTATTGTAACTTAGCCATATTTTAATCAAAGTAACTTGAAACTTCCTTGGAATTTAATGTGTCAATTTGTCCACTTTTGCACTTGCAGGTGTCTTTGGGAAACACTGCGAGTTGAACAGTTATGGATTTGAAGAATTATCATATATGGAATTTCCCAGTTTGGATCCCAATAACAATTACATTTATGTCAAATTTGCAACTATCAAAAGTCATGCGTTATTGCTTTACAACTATGACAACCAGACAGGTGACCGGGCTGAGTTTTTGGCCCTGGAAATTGCTGAGGAAAGGCTAAGATTCTCTTATAATTTAGGCAGTGGTACCTATAAGCTCACCACCATGAAGAAGGTGTCAGATGGATATTTTCACACCGTGATTGCGAGAAGAGCAGGAATGGTAAGATATTTCATCTTACATTAACCTCATTTGATTATTGTTGTATTGTAAATTACGGTTATATATTGCAAATTAATCCAAGTAAAGTATGAATCAAGTTACAATTTGAATCATGTTGTATTTGTTATTTAACTAATTTAATTGTGAATTTCAAAAGGCTTATAAGTAATATGTTAACTATGTTGCTGATTTAAAAAAATTAATAGGAGCCAGGTATCAGTGGCTCATGTCTCAGGAAGGTGAGAGTGAGACGATCCTGGCTTGATGCCAGCCCTGGCAAATGGTTCACAAAACCCCACCTCCAAAATAACCAGAGCAAAACAGGTTGGAAGTGTGGCTCAAGCAGTTGAAGCACCTGTTTTGGAAGCATGAAGCCCTGAGTTCAAACCCCAGTTCCACCAAAAACAAACAGAAAAAAAAAAATTAAAGGAGGAAAGTGAAGAGCATAGTGCATAAAAATTCCATTGATATTTCCTGTAATTTTGGGAGGCCATCTCAGGACTATACTTAAAGTAGCTACTTTTCTTTCCTAAGTATTACTGTCCTAAATGAAGAAACAATTTAAGAGCAAAGGGGGAAAACTTTTCTACAAATCAATTACTCACAAAAGATGGTTCTTAGTACTTATTTCAATATGGTTTAATTCATAGTCACGCTTATTATACCACTATCTCAATGCACCATCATCCGAGAAGTCCATGATAAGACATTTTTAGAATGCAATTTTTTACTCTCTGAGGTGTTTTAAGAGTTATAGCTCCATAATATTGAAGATTTCTGTACTATATCATTATCTATTGTATCCATTTTATTTTATAGATCTTGTGGTATAATAGTAATGGCATATTTATTTAAGAACTTTGTTGATTAAGCATTTTTCTTTGTAAAGGAAAATGCATATCCTGCCTTTAATGTCTGAAAGATTTGACATAGTGAAACAAAGCAAAATTTGTTTCTTCTTTATCTTCTCAAATAGCTCTCTGTGCCACCCACCTATTTCCAACAACTATAAATAAATTCTAACAAAAACTACCTTAAATGATGTCCAACGCACTGGGTCTTTTCTCCTCCACTCTAATTTACTACAACATTAAAGAAGACTTAAGTGACTTTTTAGAATGAAGAACTATTTCTAACTATGAGGGAAAGAAAGAGTAGTGATCAACTCTGCAAATGACCCAGTGACTATGCCAATATGTCAAAGTTAAAACTGCTCAGACACTTCATCCATGGTTGTTACCACGTTTGTCTCGCCGTATTCGGGGTTCTACTGGGTTATTAGTGGTCAGCCATTTGATTACACATGAGAACGCAAAAAGTAGTGTGTAATTTTATAACTCATCTTGGATTCATGTTGTCTTCCATCTCCTCATGAATCTCATGTTAATTTTCTCTATCTGAAGCATTATTCTAATATATTCAATTCAGAAGGTGTTCCTTATCAATTTTGCTCCCAACATTTTGAAAAGGAGGCTAAAACATAATAGTAAAACATTACAGCAATAATTGTAATTTAGAATATTTATGTTCTAAAAAAAATCTATGAGGAACTCAATTGAAAAGTATTCCTGGGGGGCCCTGATTTGTAAATGACACTATTGGACTAGGAATGAGCAGCAAGTCAGACGTTAGTCTCTAAATGGGAATAATAGTATCCCCACATTTCCATATTACTATAAAGATTGATACGAATCATGTGCATCTGAAATCCATTGTCTTTTGTATAAAACAGGTACTCACGTAAGTGTTCGGCATCCTGAGTTACCGTCAACACTGCCCCTGTGCAGCCTTTTGAAGTAAAAAAATGTTGTGATGTTTTCCTTGATCTCAATCTGAGTGAAGTTTAAATTATGGGTGCCTTACAGGTTACCCCAACTTCATCAAGCCTTATAAGGCTCAACAAACAAAGCCTGGATAAAATAATCTTTTCATTTATTGTTGCCTATTTCTTCTAGAAATTTTTGTAATCGACATGGCACACTAGTGTGCTCAGTGGAAGACCTCTAAGAAGAATAGGGCTTCAGGACATTCCAGTGTTCCTGATGATTGATAGAAAAAGCAATCTTGATCCTCACAGGATTAAAACAGTCATGTGGAGATTGTGATTTACAATAGCCATAACTTCCTAAAACTGGTAACGACCCTAATGACAGTACATACCAACACACTGTGATTTTCCAAGCAAGTGGAAGACGGCCATATTTCTAAGATGTTGTCAAGGAGATAAGCGTGTCAAATACAGTTTTACTTGATAACACCATGTTCCCTTTTCTATCAGAAAAGGTCTTGGGGACATGGGAGTGGAAGAGGAAGCACTGTGAAATATGTCAGGAGGAGTATTTGTAGCCTTTGGCCATTGTCAACAAATTTTGAATAATACCAAATGTAAAAGAAATACTTCTGTTAGTATTAATTCAGTTATGGGAAAAAAAATCTCCCTTTTTCAGAAAATATCCAAAGAAAGCCCCTGTTGGATTTTGAATCTGTTATTTTATACAATTCAAAATAATTTTTGTTGGAAACTGGCAAAATCATTAGCCTCTAAGCTTTTAATCATTGCATAGGCAGGATAGAAACTTCTCAATTTACAGTGGTACTGGTGGAAAAATTCAACAGTAAAAGAGAAACATTTGACTCTGAAGATTAAATTACGTGAGTGACTAATCAAATAAATCATACCCTCAGTTATTCTTTCTTTGGGTTCTATCAACAAACTTTTAGAAAATAAGAAAAGTATGTTATGTATTTAAAATGCCCAACACATAATACTATATAGTTTTTTATTTTCCTAGTTGAGGCACTCATTGATATCTGTATAATATCCTCCAGTTTATGAAAGCTTTATGCTATGCTAGAGTAGTTATGCTGAACAAATCAATAGCCAAAGTTGTATCATGATTCTTTAGAGTTAGCTGGGAAAAATCAAGACTACTGAAAGAGCAAACAAAATGGAGCAAGATGTGTTGACATTGACTTGGAACTGTAAACTTTTCCTAAAAATGCTAACATTTATTCTAGTAAACTTGACATGACAGCAAGAAAAACTTCACATGGCTCACAAGTTTGTGGGTTTGTAATAATTAATTGATAGAAATGTTTTAAAAAGAATGTTAGCTAGTAATACAGTCTGGTTACAATCACCATAAATCAACTCCATTATTTCTGAAATGTGAAATATTTACGATAAACTTTTCCAAAACTCCCATCCAAATATATGTTTTGTGGACAATTCCTAAATATCATAAATATTGAAGGAATGTGTCATCCCATCCATGATAATAAAAGTGACTGATTTGTAACACAGAAAAGCTGATATCTAACATCCTTGCATGTAAGAGAGGTATATTGTTAACCTGCTTAGTCTCCCTGTGGTAATTACCACATTTACCATGCTCTTATTAAAATTGACCTCAAGAAATAAGCATTTTTATAAATGGAGAATGCATCATATTTGTATTTCTCTTATAAAAATGCAACAAGTTAGATTAGCCTTGTTGTATGACATTCAAATATGTTTAGGAAGACTATCTTCTTCTCTACACTTAGGAAACCTGAGCCTTTGTAGGTTTCTGAACACCGGACAATGATTCTTCCATTTAAAGAAAAAATGCACTCTCAATGTTATCCTCATCATATCACCAACTAAAGTCTGCAAAGTTTTGTCACTTGCTGAAGACTAGAGAACAAAAGGGGGGGGGTCATCACAATGGTACTACAGTGTCCATAATGTCTACACTGGACTCTAGCCAAACTCAATGGCTATAGCTTAGTATAGAGAATTTGGACTTCTGTTAATGAGTTGCTTACTGGTTAATGGAGCATTCATATGTTCTAATAGACAGAAAGCTTTGTCTTCAGATTTTTAGGATTCAAAACTTAGTTCTATTGTTTGGGATTTAATTACTTTTGGAGAGGACTGGGGCAAGGCTCAGGTGGTGGAGCACTTGGCTAGCATGCTTGAGGCCCTGAGTTTACAGCAAAGTACAACAAAAGCAAGCAAATGAGCAACTAAAAGCCTAGAGACTTGGGTGTTTCTACTGTACAGCAATACATAGCAATGCATTCTAATCATACACAGATATGCTAGAAAATGTTATTTAAAATAATAACTCTTAGCACAGGTGAGGGGTATACTTATTTGATTTTTGTTTACTTTTCCTCAAACTTTAACATTAATACAAGTAACATTTTCATAGACCAGTATTGTAGTATTGTATCTTTTATAAATATTGCTGAAATATTAGAATAAGGCATTTGAAAATCAAAAGTTGACTGCCTCTTCATTTGTTAGAATAGGTGGGCAGTAGAAATAAGTATGTTTGTTAAGACTGCAATCCCAGGAAGATGTCCTCCAACTCCTGTGAGATATTCTAAGAAAGATTAAGGGTGTTTTTGTTCTTTCATCTATAAGATAGGGGACATAGGGGGGTTGTTTTTTAAAGTAGACTCTTACCTCTTGTCTGTAAAGATTATCACAGTCTCAGTTTTGGAGTTATCAAAGAAATATGTGCCCATAACAATGTTTGTAGTAAGTTACATGAGGTAGTATATTTTATAATGCAGTAAATGAAAGTGTCCATCACAATTTCACAATCACATCTATGTAGAGACAAACTCTGGATGGTACTGGAAGGTTGAAGGAACCAGGGGGACCCATAGTAACTGTCCCCTCCCTTCTCTTGCTACAGGCAGCCTCCTTAACTGTGGACTCCTGTTCTGAGGACCAAGAACCAGGGCACTGTGCTGTCAGTAATGTGGCTGTTTCAGATGACTGGTAAGTAGCATTATTAGTTAAAGCTTTATTATCACTTGGAATTTAAAAATATATAAACTTAAAAACATACACATTTTACAGTAATTATAACAGTATTAGCCTACCAGAAACATGAGCTATTTTAATCGAAATAGTAACAAAGGAGAAAACTAAATAGTGACACAGTTCCCTTGCATTGGTCCCTTATCCCTCCCCATGGAGAGGGGACAGGGTGTCTGATGCAGGTGCTGGTGTCACTCCATTTCCATGCCTTCTGTCCTCCTGACAGTATGCTCCTTCTTGCTGACATACATCAAGCCTGACAAGCTGAAAGTGTAATGTCTGTAAGTCTTACTGTACTTTATATCTTGTTTGGAGGACATGTGTCAACATGCAGTGTTTTCCATTGAAATTCATTACACCATAGTGCATGCAAGAGAAGCTTTAGTCATTCTTTTTAAAACAACATTTAACTGAAATCTATTGTGTTGGTACTCATATACTCATCTTTCCTTTTTCACTCAGGACTCTTGATGTTCAGCCAAATCGAGTCACCGTTGGTGGAATCAGATCCCTAGAGCCCATCCTTCAGCGGAGGGGACACGTGGAAAGCCATGACTTTGTGGGTTGTATAATGGAGTTTGCAGTCAATGGAAGGCCCCTGGAGCCCAGCCAAGCACTGGCATCTCAAGGCATCCTAGATCAGTACGGCAACTATATTTCTTATAATTAAAGAAAATGCAAATGTGTAAGGCAGTTGAGCATCCAAAGATGAAACTGTTGTACCCACAACCAAATATTTTTAAATTTCAAATATTTATTTATAGCTGGGATTTTATTTGGCATAAAGTATGATATTTAGTTGGAAAAATTATTTTTTTTTGGAGTCCAAGAAATGTATCCAAGTCTGCATAGCTGTATGCAGATGCCTCACCTTACCTTACAGAGCTGGGAGTGTCAAGTGAGGTAAGCAGGTAAATCATGTAGAAAGGATTCAGGCACATTAAGATCAGTAATGTAACTGTCGTAAATACATTAATTTAAAATTAAGTAGTTTTACGTACATATGTATTTACTCATGAAATATTGATACACCTTTGATACATAATACCTTAACTAATTGTAAACTATAAGATTGTTTTCTTATTTGATTATTAAGGAGATTCCCAAGAATGATGTAGAAACTATGAAAACCACATTTTTTAAAAAGCTATCCTGTTCACAATGAAAATTTGAAATTTTGGAAAAAAAATGAAGAATAAAATAAAAATAATCTACAATTTAAGCACCCAGAGACAAATACACATTTAGGTTATTGTCATGTTCATGACTATCTAGTATTCCATTATATGAATGTTGTCTATTTGACTACTGCTCTATGCTATTGATGTTTCTGATTTTATTAAAATATTAGTAACCCTGTGATGAATATGTTTCTACAAATCTTTATTAACATTATTTTGGTGGGTAACATATCCAGAAATTAAATTTCAAAGCCAAAGACTTGATATTTTCTAATATTTATAACTTAAGTACTTCAATACAGTTTGGCATTTCCCTTTGTTTTCTATCGTTAGTGTTATGTTACATCGTAGTATGCTGTTGTTACTGATAATGGTTGAACAGTGAAGAAAATACAGGGTTGTGGTTGCTAGCCATTGTTTTTCTTTGGTGTGCTTCCTTTATTTCATTCCGCGTGTGCACCCAGATACACTTTAATTTTTAAATTTTTTTCCTCTCAAAAATATGTTGTGAACATCTTTAGGTCAAAAGTTGCTCAGCCAAAACTTTTGTGCCTGTCTCTGACTCCTCTCTTTCTGTCATACTTCACATCTAATCCACCAGCAACCAGAATGACATTTCATAGCACAGGTTAGTTCTCATCACTTCTCTGCTCAATATTCCATCTCGTTCAGAGCCAAAGTCAGTCCTTACCCTGACAGGGACTCCCCTTAACTTCCTGATGCCATCCACATCCTCCTCCCGTCCACTGTGCTCCAAACGTGTCCAGCTCCTCAGTGGTCATCAGATTCCCACACTCTTTCTACACTTTGTCTTAATTTTCCCAAAGATTTCCCTCTTCCTGACAAACCACACATTTAGGGTTGCTTTTCTTTACTGCTGCCATTCCCACAGGAATGGATTTTCCCTCACTTTTACTTCCACACAAAGTTCAATCTTTGGCATACATGTGAGCACCCAAATGATCCTTGATGCAAGATAGCTTGGTGGAGATGTGACATGAGTAAATATATAGCCTCTGGATCACAGCAACCCAAGTGTTTATTTCACCAAAATGTCTTGTTTAGTAAGAATTAGTTTAAATTCACTAAGATGTCTTGGGTTGATGGTGCGGCTCACATGGTAAGAGTACCTACCTAGCAAAGACTAATATGTCTTGCTTTAGTAAGAATAAATTTAGAAGAATTGTCACTCCATTTGTTGTTTTTGTGTAAGATTTGTTCTTATTTTTATTTGCTCTTTTCTCTTAGTGTAAGGTAAACTATGTGCTACAAGATTTGGATTTGGTTAGGTGTGCCAAATGTAGTTGAAACCTGACCTTCAAGCATTTGAAGGCCTGAAATTAAACAGGTTAATAAAAACGTACATGTTTTTAGAAAATTTCCATCTTTCCCACTTTTAGGTGTCCTAGACGAGAAAGCGCTTGTACCCGCAACCCCTGCCAACATGGCGGCACCTGTGTGGATTTCTGGTCCTGGCAGCAATGTCATTGCAAAGAAGGCCTGACAGGAAAATACTGTGAGAAATGTAAGTAAACTGTTCCTCTCTCATTGCAAGCTACAGTAACCACGAAGTGTATACACACATGCACCTAAACATCAAGGCGTTTGTAAGTTATGTTTTCACATTTAAATGTGCAATATTTAAATATGCAATAATTGGTTAAATACAATGACATTTTCAAATTAGTTTTCTTAACCTGAGGAAGAATGACAGCCTTTTAAAGAATTATTTACTCACTAAATCTTTAGCTTCCATTTCATGAAAATATATACCAAGCTGGTTTGTGCTACCTATAGGAATGCGAGGCAATTTAAAAGGTCAGGAATGTTTTCAGGCTATGTTTAACATCATCCGCCATTAGGGGATATTTCTCTGGTCAAGTTGTTGTATTTGGTAGAAAAGTGTACGCACTAAATCACTGAATGAACACTGAACTAAAAAAACCATATTAACGGTAAAGATGTGATACTTCCATTTTAAGGTGCAGTAAACACCAGTTAGTTTTCAATATTATTTGTCAATTATTTCATTAGTTGCTTGTCTTTGAAGTCCCGATTTTTATTCTCATTGAGACACTGATATTTAAACCATCGTTAGAAAATTGAGTTCTCTAATTTGAATCTGTTCACTTTTAATGGGGCCTCTTTATAAGAATTGCTTTATTTTCAAATGAGTGATTACCACTTAATTCAGCTGCAGGTGCCTGTTTGTTTTTGAAGGAGACATTTGATTCCACTATAATATGAGAATAACCATAAATCCATGATAAAATGTAGAATTAAATGTATTCTAAAATCTCTTAGCAGAAAGTTTGATTGTAATTATTTAATTTAATTAATTACTTAATTGTATTTAATTTAAATAATAAAAACACAAAAAATATGTTGCCTGCCACCACTTGGTGGTTTTATAAAGTAATAATATTTAGTAAACAGAAACACAATTAACCTTGGATATGAGATGAATAGCTGCAGACATATTTCATATACTATAAAATTTACTTTTTTGAAGTATATTGTTCAGTGCTGAAATACTTTTGCTCTCACTTCTTCAGCTATGCTTTGATTATTATAACTTGCACTTGTATACTTCTGGATGGTGAACATTTTTTCAGATTATGATAAATTATACATAATGACTATACCTGATGGTAAATTAAACTACACATGATAATTACTGAAAATAAAGTTAGGCACAAATGTACATCTTAGTTTGTACATGTCTTTGTCCAAAATTCTAAAGTTCAGAAACAAAAGAGACTAAAACCTAAAGATCAGAAGTAATTTGAGCTATAAAAACATGTATTTCTTTGTGAAGTTTGGAAATATAGTGAAATGATCAGAGTCTTCAAGTGCATGTTTTCAACAGGTGGCTGTGTCTTCGAACACTCAGATTTATATCATGTAGCACATATTATAGTGTTTCCCAAATGATTAATGACTGTCACAAAATGCTTTACATTTCTTGGTCTTGAAATGGATTTAAGCACTTGAAATAAATTTATATAACAATTCACAAATGGAAATTATTTTTTCCAGTTTAGGATTTGGGGACATTAATTCTAGAAATGTAATATTTTCTTTGTATTTTGTAATATTTTTGTCAGGATGGAAAGTGCTCTAAGAAATGCCCAATGGATGCATTGATTTTCCCTTTCTTCCTTGGCTTTCAGCTCTTACCCCTGACACTGCCTTGTCATTAGAAGGCAAAGGACGCCTAGACTATCACATGAGTCAGAATGAGAAGCGGGAATATTTGTTAAGACAGAGCATACGAGGTGCCATGTTGGAGTCTTTTGGTGTGAACAGCCTGGAAGTAAAATTCAGGACAAGAAGTGAGAATGGCATTTTAATCCATATCCAAGAAAGCAGCAATTACACTACTGTGAAGGTAAGATAAAAGCTAATGGTGACTTCATTTGGTTAGACCGCCTGCTGTGTCATGGTTTAAATCACTTCTCCCATAATTTTTGTCCTTTTCTTTACAACCTATTGGAGTTCTGACCAATGCTGGGCACAATTCCAGTACCGTCTGTCTTAACTGTTCCCCAGGTTTTGGCCAGCGTAGAAAGATCTGAATAAGTTGATTTCTAAACTCTTTTGTTTTGGTTTAGAATAGAGACTACTGCCAGGTAGGCCAGTACAGAAAGAATTTGTTGCAGTCTATTTTGCCTGATAAAATATTTTTGTCTACTTTTTAAAAAAAACAAGGAGATAATGTGACTTTGAAATAGAAAACTATTTTTCCTATTATTTGAATTATTTGAAGCATTGATAGTATGTTATTTTCTTGTATTAGAACAAATATTTTGAAATTATCTGACTTTATTCTGAAACGTATTCAGTTCACTGTCTAGGCAAATTCTGTGAAGTTAAATGCATTTGGAATTTATTGTAAGTAAAATTTCACTTAAGAGAAATTGGAGAGTCAAGTAATTTTAAATAATCTTTTAAAATAATATTTCATGAGTATGATGGATTGCTTTATCATTAGGCTTTCACGTATTTTTTTCTTATTTATAATAAAATGCTAAACTGGTGGACCTTTTCATGAGATAAGCATTTCCACCAACTCTGAGCTTTCTGAATTTCTAAAGTTCTACTCTTTTCCTACAAATATGTCATAATCACTTTGACCATTAGATTTTTTTTAGTGATATTGACTGCTTTTCAGTAATATAATTTGGATATTATAACCCTACATTTGATAATTTTATATGAACTCTAATAAATTATTAAGAAAGCAAGCTTACTTTTGCTGAATTCTTTTCACTTACTACAGATCAGTATTTTGATAACTGCTGAAAAATGAGTTCATAAAGAGAAAGAAATAGGCATAAGAAATTGTTAGAAAGTAGTATATTTAATTCACAAGTAATATTAAAAATAAAAATAGATGCTCATGTCTAAATTTTACCTTTTTAGTCCCAATATTTTTCTGACCAAACCAACTCTGGTTGCTTATCTTCAGTAAGTAATACAAAACCAGTCTTTTAAGAATCTTCCCATTATATTCCTCTCAGTGCAGTCATTTCCAAAAGGGTAATTCCCACTCTGTCCCCATCTCCAGAGGCATTTGGTGATGTCTGCAGATTCTGATTGTCATGGTTGGGGGAGTAGGTATGTCAGGAATATTGCCCATCGTCCTATAGTGACACAGACCCCTCAGCAAGGAATTATGAAGTCAAAATGTCAGCAGAGCTGGATTTGAAATGGAGTATCTTCAGATTATAACTTTATCCTTTTTATGAAAACAAGGTCCAGTTGCAGAATTAATAAAACAACTGCAAAACAGAACATGTAAGTCATCAAGTTATGTTGTAATTTGGTTTACAATTTTCATTGAAAAGTGCATAAGAAGCAAAGAAAGGAAAGAAGAAAGATATAAAGAAAGACACAAACCATCAACTGCAAAAAACATTTTTATGCTTTGAGAGGCTTTGACAGAGAGCGGTGTGCATTATCTGTTAAGCTGTTTCCAAGTCCTCATGCCATTTAAATGACATATGAAATATTTCTGTACATTATCTCTTTACGCCAAGGAATTCAGTCAAAATATGTGGTTGAAGACATCAGGGGCAGAATTTTTCTTCCTTAAGGAAGAGGCTGAATGTCAAGTTCCATTTGTGTCACTGTAAATTCTTGCATTTCCAACTGTACTGCTGCATGCATCTTCTGCATTTGTCACGTTGGTAGCAAACACTTAAGAGATTTTTTTTTCAGAAGGCAAATTGAATGCTAATTAATAACAATGACAAATGCAAAGTAAAATGCACATTTTTAGTATGAAAATTTAGGACCTTGGATGATAAAGTGAGTAGATAAGGAAAAAATAGACAGTAAGGAGAATAAAACAGATGCGATGAAAGTGGTGGTCCTACGCAGGCAAATTATTTGTATGACAGGAATGTGATCTGCTGACAAAGGGGAAAAGTGATTTAAGAAGCATTGTTAATTATCACTTAGCTTATCAATGGCCAGCGCTGCAGGGTTTCTTTATGTTTTCCTTTGACTCACTTTCTTTCTCTTTTTTATGGTTTGGTTTCTATGTACAGAATCTTTCTCTCTCTCTCTCTCTCTCTCTCTCTCTCTCTCTCTCTCTCTCACACACACACACACACACACACACACACACACACACACAGGTGAAAAAGAGAGAGGGTGTTTGGTAAATAGGAGTCTGCATGGTCACAGGTAATAGTGCCACGAGAGCACAAGGTGAGGAGAATCTGTAATATAGTTAAGGTCTGTTTTGATAAAAAAATAAAAAATCAGAAACAAAGGCAAAAGGAAGCATATATAACTTGTTGACATTGTATGACAAGCATTTCACAAACTTGTCCTCCTTCATAACATATCATGTAGCTCCATGTTTATGGTTCTTTCATTATAGCCAGGTATTGGACTTTATTTTTGTTCCAAATGAGCTGTAAAGTTTTGCTTTGTTTTTTTCTGTTTAAGTGAAGGTAGATATAGGATACATTACAAGAGTGAAGATTCAAAGCTCTATACATTCAAAAATAGATGAACAAGTGAATAGAAGAATAAATAACTAAGCAGCAATCAGGATGATATTTGGAAAGATAGGAAGGATGTATTAGAGTGTTGCTGGGGAGAAGGAGAATAGTATAACAGGAAATTATATTCTTATGCACCCCATGCCCACTCTGTGGTATGTTGCATATCTTCTTTCATCAGAAGTTCTGTGAATAAAAGGATGACATGTGAGATCCTGTAGGAGAGGAACACAGAGCTGGAAGGAGGCACTTTGCAGCACTTCCTTTCCAAAACGACTCTATACCTAAGACGCCATTTCTGTTTTCACCACATCTCTCGTGATGTTGCCCACTTGATAAAATGTTAGTCATTTAACTTGAATTTTGCTTTTTTTCCATCTGACTTTGGTACTGAGATTTGTTTTTATCTGGAAAGATTGCTTTAATAAAATATTACTATATGACCAATGTATGTAAATGTGACAAGCATATTTTCCACGAAGTAGAAATGAACTGATTTTTAGTTCTACCAGATGTGTTTGTGCCTATCACTTGAGGCACAGTGCCATTCCATCCTTTTGCCAAGACCCTAGCTCTGCCTGACAGTCGTGGTGGGATTATGCTCTTTGAACCAAATGTTCATCTTGCCTCAAATATTATTTCATTTTCTAAAGTGGTCCACTTCTAGTGCTGGAAACTTGGTAGGTGGAAGCTGAGGCTCCCTGATGCTCTACGGAGTGAAGTAAAACTGACCAAGTACTCTTTACGTAAGGCTTTTCCAGACATTTTATTAGGAATTCACCTTATGCTTTTCAGTTTTTCATCTAAGGAATTGGTATAGATGATAGACATCATTTTCCCTAAAATTCCAGTGTAAAACAGATGACAGGTAAAACAGTGCATTTCTGTCTTTCTTTTTCAACTCTGCTTCCTTTAGAGATGAGCATTTTTCATTTTGCAAGTGGTTTCAACATTTTTTTTTATCACTATTGGCTTTTTACTAAACTGACTAATGCAATACATTTGCCACTGTCATTGAAATATAATCACAAAAAGGTGTGATGTATTTATCTTAAGATAGCTATTCACTTCATTATTTTCTCAACTGTGTTTTGGAAAATAATTGTATGAATCTTAAGAGCTAAGTATAAAATAAAAATGGCTGAAATTACTACCTGTGAAATTCTGTTATTTCGAATTACAGACAGAATAAGTGTTTTGGAGTACCAGCAACCTCTCAGCTATTCCAGCTGCTTTACATTGATCAGCATTTTAAAGTTTATTTTTATTGCTTTATTTATTTAATTTTTTACTGTTGTGCTGGGCGTACATTGTGGCATTTACAAAAATTCTTACTACTTGTCATAGTTGGATTCATCCCCTCCATCTTTCTCCTTTATTTCTCCCTGCCCCATTCCTGAAGAGTTTCAACAGGTCTCATTGTTGTTTTTATCTAAGCATATCATACCTTATTTTTACCTTATTTTATATATATTTTCAGATTAAGAACGGCAAAGTGCATTTTACCTCTGATGCAGGGATTTCTGGCAAAGTGGAGAGAAATATTGCTGAAGTATATGTTGCAGATGGCCACTGGCACACTTTCCTAATGGGGAAAAATGGAACAGCCACCATATTGTCCATTGACAGAATATACAACAGAGATATCATCCACCCTACTCAGGATTTTGGTGGCCTTGATGTGCTGACCATATCTCTTGGTGGAATTCCACCCAATCAGGCTCATCGAGACGCTCAAACAGGTAAATGCTAAAGGACAGTCAGAAAGGACAAGAAAGGCTATTCCTCTAGAAACAGGTGATCTCTGTGGCAGGAGCAGATAAAATCTACTTCATATGAGCCCCTTAGTGCAATTTAATTACAATAAACAATTGTCACAAAAATAGTTGGATTTCTGATACCACCAATTATGAACATTCTAACACCAATCATAACTAACCTTAGAAAGTTTGTGATAAACGTCAGCCGTCACTGCCTTTAGCCATTGGCATATTTCTTAGCATGGTCATCATGCAATTCATGAGCTCTGAAGCTTTGCCTGTCCACCAGGCCGTTGTTTATACAATCACTCATGCGTTCATTCATAGCCACTCCCCAAGGAGCACATGAGGCAAGGGAGACAAACATCCATCAAATACGTACACAAATAAATGCATCATTTTTACCTAGGATAAATTATGTGAAGGAAGAATGTAGGATTATAAGAAATTGTGAAACAAAGGGGAAGAAAGGGAAACCTGCATGCACTAAAATTTGAATGATGAGGAGGAGAAAGATTGACCAATATTGAAGGGAACCTTGAAAAAGCAGATTAAGTCACATTTAGAGAACACAGCACATTGGTGCCTGATATCACAGGACAAATGTGAATTCTAAGAATTCCCAGTAGAGGACCTTCTAGACTGATATGTATCATATTACTTGCAGAAAAATGGGAAGTTAATGAGAACTTTAATCACAGGAGCATCGAGGTTAGATATGTGTTAGTGTTGAAGATCTTTCTGGTTCCAGCATGGAGAATGAATTGGAAAAAGACACAAAAGACATGGGTGGATTTGTTTGCAGATGTCATTTGGGAAGTATTGTGGCTTCCACTAAAGCAATGGCTGAGTAGTTAAAACAAAGTAAAGAGAAAAGAAAAATTCTAGAAACTAAAATCAACCAAGCTGTTGGTAATTTTGGTAAAGTTGAGGTTACTTTTTGACTTTTCATCTCAAAGAAGAATAGTGCCGCTGGGAGAAGGCACTGCAGAGAAGTGCAAAAGAAGCCCTCTCAGGCAAACAGCAAGATTTGCTTTGGCACATTTCACATTTGAAACACCTTTGAGAAAGGACGTTGGGTGGATGGACTGGATATCACGCATAGACTTAGTCTAGAAATATCTAATTAGCAGTTTTCAACAGCAAGCAGATAATTGAAGTACTGGTTGTGGGTGTGAACACTAAGATGAAGGTGTAGAGTGACTTGAGTAACCCCAAGAATTAAAGATTGTTTAAAGGAGAGTCCCCAAACAGACAAAGAACAATAGGAAGAAACTCAGGAGTATAGGAGCAAACATAGGAGATCCCAGAGCTCAAGGACAAAGTGCATCAAGGATGGAGATGTAAGGTGAGTGAGTCAGGTGAAAGGAAAATAGAAAAATGTATGTCAGAGTACTAGAATAGGGCACAAAAGTTGAATTCCAGGTCACAAGTCCTTATTTATTGAGCGTATGTTGATTTATAGGTAGCAATTCATTTGGATGTCATAATCAACAAGTTCTTCTGTGAATCACAAGAGCTGTGTACCTGGAGGTGGGAGCATTCGAAACATTAGTGCAGTCAAATCCAATGAAATATTTCTTAGTTTTTTTATTGACACCCTGTGAAGCTGTTTAGATGTGTTGTTCAAATGCCTTTCATCCCAACCACATGGAATATGGATGTCCTTATCTCTTTCTCTCTGCCCCACAAACCATTGTACTAGACAAGATTTTTCTTTTCTGCCTAAGAACCTCCCTGACTCCTTGGAGGTGATACTACCTTCATTGATAATGTATATTATGTGGTTGAAGATACTGGCGATTTTTTTTCTTCTTTTTATAATAAGTTTTATTTCTATGTATGCATTGCTTGGAATATCGCCTATAAAAGAGGAACAGTAAATAAGTCAACAGTTGGAAAGAGAGACAAAGACAATCCAGTTTGCTCTAGTCATTCCTAAATATTCAAACCTTGCTGGATGATTCCCCCTCGCCGCCCTCCTCCCCCAACCGTCCCGGTCTTGTTGAGCTGTGCCAGGGGACACAGACTTCCTGCTTTGAATTGGAGGGTGGCTGGGCGAACCAGGGGAGAGATGGCTTCATGTGATCCCTGCTCCCTTGGTCCTCTTTGCTTTTCCCTAATCTCCTTCTTCCCGCTCTGCTTCCCTGCAGGCTTCAGCGGCTGCATCGCCTGGGTGCTGTACGGAGGAGATAGCCTCCCCTTCAGCGGGAAGCACAGCTTGGCCTCCATCTCCAAAACCGACCCCTCGGTGAAGATTGGCTGCCGTGGGCCCAACATCTGTGCCAGCAACCCGTGCTGGGGCGACTTGCTGTGCATCAATCAGTGGTACGCGTACAAGTGCGTCCCTCCTGGCGACTGCGCCTCGCACCCGTGCCAGAACGGGGGCAGCTGTGAGCCAGGCCTGCACGCGGGCTTCTCTTGCAGCTGCCCGGAGTCGCACACCGGCAGGACCTGCGAGACCGTGGTGGCCTGTCTTGGCATCTTGTGTCCCCAGGGGAAGGTGTGTAAGGCTGGCAGCCCCGGTGGGCACGTGTGCGTTCCGAGTCAGGGTCCTGAGGAGATTTCCCTGCCCCTGTGGGCCGTGCCTGCCATCGTGGGCAGCTGTGCCACCGTCCTGGCCCTCCTGGTCCTCAGCCTGATTGTGTGTAACCAGTGCAGGGGCAAGAAATCCAAAAGCCCCAAGGAAGAGAAGAAACCAAAAGAGAAGAAGAAAAAGGGCAGTGAGAATGTCGCTTTTGATGATCCAGACAACATCCCGCCCTATGGGGACGACTTGACAGTGAGGAAGCAGCCTGAGGGGAACCCAAAACCAGACATCATTGAGAGGGAAAACCCCTACCTCATCTATGACGAGACCGACATCCCCCACAACTCAGAAACCATCCCCAGTGCGCCCCTGGCTTCCCCCGAGCAGGAGATCGAGCACTATGACATCGACAATGCCAGCAGCATCGCCCCCTCTGACGCCGACATCATCCAGCACTACAAGCAATTCCGCAGCCACACGCCCAAGTTTTCCATCCAGAGGCATAGTCCCCTGGGCTTTGCCAGGCAGTCCCCCATGCCCTTGGGAGCAAGCAGCTTGACGTACCAGCCAGCCTATGGCCAAGGTTTAAGAAGCAGCTCACTCAGCCACTCGGCCTGTCCCACACCCAACCCCCTGTCGCGACACAGCCCGGCCCCCTTCTCCAAGTCGTCCACCTTCTATAGGAACAGCCCCGCAAGGGAACTGCATCTTCCTCTGAGGGATGGCAACACTTTGGAAATGCACGGTGACACATGCCAGTCTGGCATGTTCAATTACTCCACCAGGCTAGGGAGGAGAAGCAAGAGTCCTCAGGCCATGGCTTCCCACGGTTCGAGACCAGGGAGTCGCCTAAAGCAGCCCATCGGGCAGATTCCTCTGGAGTCTTCTCCTCCAGTGGGACTCTCCATTGAAGAGGTGGAGAGGCTCAACACCCCACGCCCCAGAAACCCCAGTATCTGCAGTGCAGACCACGGGAGGTCTTCCTCAGAAGAGGACTGCAGAAGGCCACTGTCCAGAACCAGGAACCCAGCGGATGGCATCCCAGCTCCAGAATCATCTTCTGATAGTGACTCCCATGAGTCCTTCACCTGCTCAGAAATGGAATATGACAGGGAGAAACCGATGGTCTACACTTCCAGGATGCCCAAATTATCTCAAGTCAATGAATCCGATGCTGATGATGAAGATAATTATGGGGCCAGACTGAAGCCTAGGAGGTACCATGGCCGTAGGGCTGAGGGAGGACCTGTGGGCACGCAGGCAGCAGTGCCAGGGGCTGCAGACAGCACTCTGAAGCTTGGCCAGCAAGCGGGAAATTTTAACTGGGACAACCTTTTGAACTGGGGGCCTGGTTTTGGCCACTATGTAGATGTGTTTAAAGACCTAGCATCTCTTCCAGAAAAAGCAGCAGCAAATGAAGAAAACAAAGGAGGGACGACTAAGCCAGTCCCCAAAGATGGGGAAGCAGAGCAGTATGTGTGACAGTCACCTACTGGCAGGATGAAAATACTAAAGCTAGAAAGAGTCAAGCCATCTTGACTAGGTTGCCAACTAGTTTGGGTCACATTTGCAAACCAGGCCAGTACAGTAAGATTGTGGCAAACATTAAAAATAATAACCACAATGCTGCTGAAACAAACTCAAAACAACTCTTTAATTTAAATATGCTTGGTTGAATTGATTTTCCTGCATGCATTGTATTTTGCGACTAGTTATGTGGCATGCAACATTTGGAAAGTTTTGCTTATTTACCAGTGTTTGGTTTGTGATTTTTGAAATTAATACCTTTACCATTGCAGAAATGAACTTGTGCTTTCATGGTGGCGTGTGTAATGTTTCCATTGTATTATTATAATTATGTTTTACATTGCGAGATCCTTGAGGTTTAGCCAATCCTTGTAAAATGTAGAAAAGAGCCTTTCTCTCCTTGAATGAAAGACTAAGTACTAACATTTTTTCAGATCTATAGAGTCCGTATTCGAAGTTGCTCAGAAATGGCTGCATATTTGCTCGTTTTACATGACAGTGGGTACTAAAATTAGGTCTTATTGTTCAGCACTTTAAGGCTTTCTTACAAAATTGTGTTGAAACTTCTGAATCTTTTTGCAAATTATTGTGGCCTCCTGACTTTCCTCAGACTTCCACGAGGAACAAAATGACTGCATATCACCCCAAGATTACTGCCACCTTCCTACTGTGGAATGCTTAGAGCAGCGCTTCTAAGAGACACTTGTAGAAGTTATTTATTGAAGAAAATGTTCTATGCTTTTCACATTTTACTATTTGAGAAGCAAAGCCTAAGATTGGACTCATTGTTCATCCATTCAACATTTTCACCAAGTACCCCATTTTTATAATTTATGTAAAGTCAAATTGCAACACTTCTTACTTTCTGTCATTTTGTAGGTCATTTTTTTAATGCTGTGTAAAAACTTTTTTTTTTACACCTAAGCTGTGTTTTTGATACTGATATTTTCCTATGCTGAATGGTTTTCTTACTTTCAGGGAAGGTAAGAAAGTACTTTTTCTACATTTGTTACTTATGTAACGTTCATATTTTTCACATTTTGATATTTGTAACATACTGTATGCTTTCTACTTGTAAATGCCGACAATAGAATTAAATATTTATTTAAAATACTTTGCATCCATAGTGTGCTATTGAGCTTTCATCTTTCTGTACTGTGCATGAGCACTTGACAACACTCTGTACCTGTCACTAGGGTGCATAGCAAGTTGAATTTATATGGGCAGCATTGTTTTCTTTTTAAAAACAGGACTATGGCAAATTGCCAGAACAGATATTTTAAGGTCATGTTAACGCATTCCCACTTGTCAGAGTTCTTGGGCTTCCCTGGAGTATGATGAGTCTAGACTGGCTTGGTCTTATGGGACTAGCATTGCTATGAACATGGATTAAGCATTCTAGGACTAAATGATTGGAAGTTCCCAGTCGTGTATGTTCGCTGAAAGCCGGCTTTGGAACGGACCTTTATAGTCATAGAAGCAGAAATGAATTAGATGGCAAGCATCTGGGTCTGATTTTCTCTGAGGATCCAGTTCAGATTTTTCTGAGTGGAGTGGTAGATAGGAAGAATGACAGTGGAAATTTTCCTACACCTGCCTGTCTTTAATTTATTGATCAGTCTGTTGAAAAACATTTGAGCACGTCTTTCCTGCTATCTTAGCCAAGACAGACCTGTATTTTCTAGTAGTCTCCCACAGTGGAGCAACTGAAAAGAATGACAAGGAGCAGGAGGTGTTTGTGTAAAAATAATTACATCTTAAGTAATAAGACTTCTAGAAATGATCATGCAACCTCAGAAGTTTTTGGATTTAGACATCTGCATCAAACTGAATATGTATTGAGGATAAAAAACCTTTAATTCCCACTGTACCATACTGTAGAGGGATTTCAACAGTATATGAAACTGTGATGATTGAAATATTTGAAAATTAACATCAGTAAATTGTGATATAGGCTAATCATTTTGGCATTTAATAATATTGAGATTATTATGTTTGTTTCAAAATGAGAAGTAAACTGGATTTTAGTCTAAATTATAGTATTTACTTAAATGGTTTAGAAGCTGAGTATCTGACACTATGTTTCTTTTTTTTTTTTTTTTTTTTGTCACCTGGGATCAGCTAACATGTTTTAGTTTTTTTTCATTTCCCTCTGGATTTTAACATTATGTATGAATTTATTCCCCAAATATGGAAACATGTTGATTGCCTTGTGTAACTCAAAACAGAGTATGATTTTTTTTTTCCTGGAGAAACTGAAGTATCTGAATGTCCTCAAGGATAAAAACACTTTAATTCAGAACAGAGCTAGAAGTAAAGTGATCAGCATGATTATAGCTAAGGGTTAAGGAGAAAAAACTCATGCTGAGATTCCCATTCTCTTTAAGAATTCTTTGTGAAGCGAAATTCTCTCTGTTCTCTTGGTTCTTCAATCCCAGTTTATGAATGAGATGGCATTCATATATGAAAATGTCTAGCATTTTCTTTTCTCTTGTTGGCATTTTTTCCACTGAAGTAAGAATAATATTAATAGCAAAGCAAATCAGAAATGAAGGCTGCACTGGACATGGAGGCTAATCCATAACTTTGTGAAGCTCTGAAGTGACACAGCATGTCTTACTGGGGATGGCTGTGGGCAATTTGACAAGGTAGCAGTCTTCACAAATAAATGTTTAGTGGTGAGATGCATGTTCACACTCAAAATCCTGACCTTAAAATTTTAATCCAACCTAGCCCTTGTAAGGCTTTGTTGGATTTCCTGAATACAAACGCTCATCCAGCTCTTCACAAAGGTAACATTGTTTACTTTTTGGTGAAAACTGAAAATACCCCAGTGGGCTTGCTACCAGAAGGAAGAGGAGCCCATGATCACAGTCACGGTTCCAGTGCAGTCAGAGGCAGAATGACACAGAGCTCTGCTTCCTTGGTTCTTTAGGAGAACATTGCTGTAAGTTTCAAGGTTGTTCCTAGAATTTTCTAAATTAGCTGATTCATTGATAGCTGATTAAGATAAATTAAAACCATTTTACCAAATGGAGAATTGGAAGAGCCTGGAGCTCAATTCCCCAGTTACACATTAAGAAAATGCTTACCAACAACAGCATTGATGAGAAACAATGCTTGCACTGTTGAAAGTTGTGTCCTTTATAAATATTTTATTTATAAGGGAAAATAAAATACATCTCTAAGCAACTTTATTTCTTCCAGACATTCTAAGAACAAATCACTATTGTCCCATGAATGCATTTCATTTTACTTGAATATTATGGTAAAATGAATGTGAAAAGTTAGAATGAACTTTAACGTTTTGAATCAACATTTCAGCAATGCATTTTTCCCTATTTTATTTTGTATTATAGATACAATTTTAAAAGGACGGGCATTTCAAGGTGACTGGAACTACCTACTTTTAAGAAAAGCCAACATATAAGTGAAGAGTATTTTTGCATATTTGGCTTTTTATTGTGAAGTAAAATATTTACTATGGAGCTAATATATGTTTCCTGAAGTAATTTTAAATGAAATGCTGTATCATTAATAATTTATATGATTAGCAAGACAGTAGATTACATAGTTTATCAGTCCAAGTGCTATAGGTCTGTGTTTTTGTATGAATTTGGTATTTTCACTTATTATTAATGAAGGAACGACAATCGAGGCCAGTAAATTTGGTGCATAAAAATAAATATCAGTGATTAATTCTTTACCTATCTGTGCGTTTTGACAATAACTGCAAACAAATACATTCTTGACCAATTATCATGAAGTACAATGTCCCATAACAAAGAAATAAATTGAGCATCATGGTTTAAATTAAATCACAAACAATAAATTAATTTATTTTCCAGGCATTCTTCTAGCTAATAGTAAAAAGAAATAACGAAGAAAAGAGAAAGCACCTGCCTGGATGGAGCACACAATCTCATACTCATAGAAGAGATTTATAATTAACAAATAAATAAAATATGGTAATAATAATGTATGGCACTATCTAATGAAGCCTCGTGATGGTAAAGGGGCCACAGCTGAACTGGAGAGAGAGCATTCCCCATGAGACAGGTTGGTTAGGAAGACCTTGCTGGAGATGTGACATTGGAGTAGAGACTGGAAGGAGGAGTGAGTGAACCATGGGCACACATGTGATGCCTTTGCTGGCAGAGGCAGTGGCACATGGAAGACTATAGAAGCAGATTATCCCACATTAGGGAAGTAGCAAGAAAGCCAATGAGACCAGGTCATTGTCAGTGCATCCCCAAAGACTTCATCAAAAATGCTTTGAGATGAATGCACGTGAGAACATGAAGTGAGGATGACAAGTCAGAGCTGGCCTAGAAACAGCATTATTATGGAAGAAACCTTCAGATGGAAGGAAAATAAACCCTGCGAATGTGTATGTACTCTTTGTTGATGTCCAAAATTTAGAAGCCAAAATGAGACAAATATAATAGCAATGAATAACTCACACTACCCTGCATGACCACGCAGCCCAGAAGAATACTAAATTAATAGGGACAAGCTTAAGATATATGATAGCAAGGGGGCTAATTTCCTTATGACTGAAGCACTTATATATCCATGCCATAAGACATCCACTAAAGGGAAACTGTAGACATTTTCTTGTTAAAAATTGAAATCTATTCTTTAAAAAGTGAATTATTTGTCAGGAAGATTTTCCAAGTGAGTGAGATAAGTGCATATTGTTGGGAGGTATTAGTAAAGAAGGTATTTCTAAGACACAGTGGGAAGTTTATGCACAAATGCAAGGATTTGGGCGTAAATTCAAGGATTGCTCAAATAGCTTTTTTAAGAAAAACTTTTGAGACTGGGTCTCACCATGTAGCTCAGGCTGACCTCAAAATTTGGATCCTCTTGCCTCAGCCTCCCAAGTGCTAGGATTATTGTTGTGTACAACTCAGACCCAAATAGCTTTTAACAAGGTTTTTAAAATTCATTTATTAGTAAATATAGGTAACTCCATAGTTGCATCACTAATAAACTCTTCAAAGTGTGCTGAAATGTCAGTAGGCTCCACGTGGAATGTGCTAAAATGAGATTAGGACATAAAGACCTATTTCTGGTGTTAACCAGGAAGCTCTTGGGAAGGTTCTTTTTACATACTGTATAATGTGAGTATGTTGGACCCTTAATTATGTCAGAATTCACATTTACAATTCCAATTCTGAAAATGTGTAATGGAGATCAATATAGATAACTTATAGGCTGTTTACACTTAGCAAAGGAACGTGTTGAAGGAATGACACACTCAGCAAATCTTCACATAGCACGTGGATGTATTCAAATAGATTTATTAAATAAATTTGTGAGGGAGTCTCAACATCTGAAGAAATGGAAAGATCCACAGAATATTGAAACAACATTGCCAAAAGGCAGATGATTTCTGGGTGAGCCATTTGGATACTTCCAACTTTATTAGTTTATTAATCAGTTTGCCAAACGCCCAAATCAGGTTACAAGATACAAAGTCAGTCACTATGTATACTGGCAGAATGTCGGTATTATGATCTCTGTACCATTCTAACGCAAATAAATGACCAATGATATACAAAGTTCCTTGACAATGTCACTGCGTTCCCACCTCAGACTGACACCATACTGCAGATAGTATGGATGCTGATCAAAGCAAGATTCCATTGTGCCAAACCAGACTGCTCACTCAAGTCATCCTTCCCACTATATTGTCAGTTGTAGGCCAGAATGCCCCGAAAAGTAAAAAAAAGGACTGCGGGAGGTCCACATGGTCCCCAGAGATGGCTATTAGCCAGAGAGAAATGCCCCCCTCCTTCCCAAGAAACACCTGTTGGCACCAAAACATACTCCTCCCACTGGCAATAAAAAAACTATAAAACCTGCCATCCAACCCAACTCAGGGACTACCGGTTTCCCATCCCACTGCACGTCCCCGCATGCAGCCTTTCCTTTCCCTTCTCTATAAATAAAACTTCTCTGCTCTCTTTTATTGCTTGAGTTTCTGCCTTTGATATCCAGCTATGTACAGAAAAAAGGACCCTCACCACTGGAAAATCCCAGTGTATTAAAAGAGTTGTTGAAACTTGCCTTTGAAGTTGAAAAGTGAAACATTCTAGGGAAAAGTC